ACACACACAGCTACACGCGAGAGCACACCTGCAGGTGCAGCGCCGGAACGTGCTTGAGGGCTGTGAAAAAACAGTCGCATCAAGTGTTCCACCAACCTCATCGGAAGATGAACTTTTTAATCAAACCCTGAAGATAGTATTGACAAGGTCTTTTTTCAGTTTTATTAATGCATTTCCTTACATACCAAATTTTCGAAATCCTCATTTTAGCCTATTCTTTCTGATTTCAGTGAACAGGTCCTCACACTGAGAAAATGGAAACACGACCGATAGATGGCTTTTTATTTAATGCGACTTACGCAATCATGGTGATATGAATCTTCACACAGGACAGGATAGATGAAAGATGTGCAACTTACTACTGAACAAGCTAGCCATCACTTGGTCTTCTTTTAATCACTGGAAGGTTGTCTCGCAGTGAATTTTACTAATATTCACTTTACCAAATGACGCTGTTTGCTATAATACCTGTCAATCTTAATATTTTCTAAACTGTCCTGTTAATCAGCATGTTTAATTTGTGTTTTTCCAATGTCTTATCATAATTTTCAGTTTGACGGATCCTTCGACATCGCCTTCTCCCATCACATCAGCACATTTCCTATCATCGTCTTAAAAACAAGTTTAGGGTCACAGTTCCGTATAATTTAGTTATTCTCACCATGTTTAGGGAAGGGTTTATGTTGAATCATGTCGATATAATCTAAGTAAATTAAACTGATACGTTTGTGTTAGAAAAACCGTTTTAGGACAGGACAAGTCTGCTCCCTGGCATCCAGCAATACATTCCGAAGAATTTTAAGTCGCCAACATGCGGCTGACCGGTACAGTGGTTGTTAGCTCGAATAACAATAATGAGATCTAATAAAAATGCTGAATGTCGTCATGTTTTTATGCAAACTCCACCGGAACAGTAGTGAAGTCCTGACCTGACTTCGGAATTAATACTTCCACCGCAACCTTCTTTTCACTTATTTTACATAATAGCAGTCACAGTCTCAGTTATCGTCATTTCAACATTCATCCCTCGCCGGAGAAAAGGGCAATTTTTTTTTCTGAATAACCTTTTTTAATGGCATAGAATGATCAAAGTGTAAACAAATTATTAATAAGATCCACTGAAGCTGACAAAGGCATTAGCAGAAAGTCATCAGAGAAAAGAATGGCATTTTTGTGAGTGTAAATGAAGAGATGAGAAATGTCCTAAAACAACCCATGAACAGATCCAACGTCACATTTCTACGTTAGTGTAACTTTGCAATAAACTGGTTAGTTTACAAAGTTATAGATATATTTATTAGCATCGACAGAAAACTAAAATACTACTCATGAGGCTTCAGTGCAAAACTCAGGAAGCAATCAGAAAAAGTGCCAGTTGAATTCCAAAAAATCGGCCAACTGCAATGAATGGGTAAAAGTGAGGTGTTCACGGGATTATGTATATACAAAAGCGTGAAATCAAAATATATTCTTTCAGTGTTAAAAACACACAATGCAATTAAAATTTTTTTGACTTTACAATTAGTGGCATTGCATAACAGCGATATCAGTACAAAACTGCGATCACAAACAGGACGCAAAGTTGTTAAAAGGTGATGTACATAACGAGGAATAATATCAGTTGGGTTCAGATTGCAGTACAATTCAAAACATTAAATTTATATTATGTATCCCGTGAGCAGCTATCGTAACTTTTTTAAAAGTCTTGCTAAAGAAAATGTTAGAATTAATGGCAGTCACAATTAAGTGAATACATAATAGAGGAAAACAATATCTACTCCCTGCCTATTTCGCACTTGGCAAGTTCCAAATCATTTGGCCCATTCTGAGGCAAGTGTGCAACTTCTAATTGGGCAGAGCCACAAGTCTGTACACTAGTCACATCTAAATCGATATTCAAACGGAGCTAAAAACTCATTGGCTCTGGATGGGATTCTTCAGTCAGGTCGACGATACCACATCTAAACATTTCCCGGAGCCCAAGAGCAAAGCCGCCAACCATGCATTACATGGAATGTCTTTTAGGCAGTTATGCCTGCGATACTTCATCGAAATCCTCTAGTAGGTATTCACCAGAAAGTCCCAATTATAATGGTCCCATCAAAATATTTATGAAATTGTAAAGACTGCACCACCTACAACTGTATTATATTTTAATATTTCAACAAAACAAGTTTTTAATTGCATAGTGTTACACAAATCAACTTTTCCAACAGGTAAGTATCATCTGGAAATTGGTTTTTATTTTTTTTTTAAGGCACGATTTATGAAATAGGAGACATAAAGGTGCATAATAAATAATTGAGGCTGGACGCGTCCTTAATGCTTTTATATAAATTGGTAACGACAAAAGTACTAGATATTTATAACTGAATATCAACGAATGTGTGTAAGAGTCATTAAAACCTCGTTGTTTAAAAAAACTGCTTAGATGTTTACCTAGCAACAAACATGTGCGGAATGGATTTAGAAATTTTTTAAAATTTTGCCAAAAAATATACATGTCGATACGAACATTACATTGGGTAGTGCATTGGCAATGATGTTTAGACGAAAGGTCAACTAAGAGTCATTGCTACGGAAGCAGTAATTTAAACGACTGTAACGCACGCTAACTGGTTGTAATTTATCCCGCAGCTATGTTCGGCACTGTTTTTAACGGGCATCAGCGGTCTTTCACCCAATTGCCCAATTCACACACAAATTTTATGTGTGGGTCGAAAGCGCACAGGCGATTTAACGTAAAACTTAGACCAATTTGGTCATACAAGCCAACCGATTTTCGACGTTACTTGATTGAAAAAAAGATGCGGACCCTACGAGAGTATTCTTTATCTACGAAACGGTCGATTAGTGTACAACCAAAGGAACCTACTCATCGATGTACGCTATCAGTTGGAACCCAGTTTGCTGGAAGTAATATTGATGCTTTACGACTAGCCATCCAAGATCTTGGATTTAATGAAGTAATTTGAAATTTTTTAGAACGAGTATTTTTGGGTATATACAATTTTATATGATTCTGTCAAGTAAAGTATTACGTTAAGATATGTAAGGAGCTTTTCTAACCTTGGAACCATTGAATTTACCTTGAAGATTTTTATCCACAACTAGATTATTATCATACCAAAAGTTAAATACCGAGTTCATTGTATGTTCATCAGTGCCTTCATGTTCATTAAAATCTTTGAATAGAAAAGGACCTTATGATTGTGTGATTTAACTTAACGTTAATTGTGCTTATCAATTCTGTGCTAAATTTAGTTACACTAAAGCATTATTGTTAATTTAAACTATTTCGAGCCTACGTATATTGGTTCAATGACTTGCACCTTTAACCATGCAAAGTTATAAAATAATGCTACTTTGAACTCTTTAAAACAAATTGAAATCACTAAAGGCAAACAAATATGATAATAGAATATGACACTAGCGATAAATCACAACAAACAGGGAATGGAATGGTTTTTTTGTACGAAGCCCTTTCTTAAACACTAAGTTAACGTTTTATCTGTCTATAAAATTCCAGTATTACATAAACAAATTGTTCTTGCACCAAAGTTTTAATATTAACCATTCAACGATTTTTAAAAAATTCTCTAAAACCTTTCAAATCATGGTGTTTTCCAGATATTAGTCTCATTGTAATCAGTCAGTCAAACTTATTCATGAAAAATAACTCACAAGAATACATTGGGTGGAACTGCTGTGAGGGTGCACTGCGATGAACACGCACACTGGACTAGCCAACGGCTTTTCTCTGGTGGCAATGAAGTCATGCATTTGTAGCTATGCTTCAAGACTTCATTTTTCAGTCTTCAAATATTTAATTTAATTTATAAGGTTACCGAGGAACAAGAACGTGACATTACCTGGAACTCTGCCTACTTCTTTAAGAAAGACAAATCCCGAGGCTGTTTCGTCAACAAATTCCCAGGTATGCTAGAATAATACTTTCCAGTACGTTCTCTATTATTTTCTAGACTCTGCATATAGCAGTGTTGTGTCTTATAGCGTGATAAGTTAGTCATAACAAAGAGTTAAACAAGTATAATGCATGTGGTATTTTAATTAGACGTGTTTTACGGCTTGATTACGCCAACGAGTCTTGTCAGACTGTTCATGTTCGTCTCAAAGTGACAAACATTCTCCATGGCCCCAATTTTACGCCAGCTGTTTTTTTAAATTGAAAAAAGCACTTATAAGGACCAGCGTTGGAACCTTAGAGCATAACATACTAAATTTGCAAATGAATTTAAATAGATGCCATGAAATTATGCTTTGTCTTGGAAAATACGCTTAATTTTTTTTCATGAAAAAAATTGAGTTTTTTTGTGAGGATTTCAATTATGGTTTCTCTCGAAATTTCAGTAGTATAGTCTAGACTCATTTTTAGACCAACCGAATATTTATATAGTAGAATCTGCGTGTTAATATTGTTACTCTTGAATTAATCAGGAATATTCAAGTTATTTGGTTGGTGATGATATTTCCTTTTGTCGTTCCAAACCCGCGAGCCCGACCTTTTGATTATACACATGAAACATCATTTTAACTTCCCCGACCTAAAAAAATCAGTCGCGAATAAGGAATGTCAAGTGCCCGCAGAACTCTGGGGCACAACAATTAGAGGTTCTCACATGGAAGTCATCGTAGCGGCTGAATTTGCATCAAAATCTACTTTCAATTGAAATTTTGAAAGTGGTTCTACCAAATGCTTCTGACCAGTCAGAGGTGGAGCAGTGTTGCGACAACTTGGCGGTGCTTACAGCGTTGTTTCCGATTTTGTGATTGTGTAAGGTAATTAACGATGTTGGGCAGTTTGCTCAAACCGAAGCTCCATGCTAGGGGCAAGAGTTCAGATCTCGAACTGCCTGCCTTCCACGAGGTCAGTACAGTGCCCTAATGAAGTGACTTGAGCAGCTGCAAACAGCTTACTGGGTGAGCTTGCTAAACGATGATTGCGACGGGTATCCGTCCAAACACTGTCACTCCAAAGACTGCGGTGGTGGCCGAATCTTCCAACGAGTGGTCTTTTAAATGTGGCGTTTTCCTGTGTTTTAGGAGTCCACTGTCTTTTGACGAAAATAAGCCTTTTCAATTGTTTGGAATTTCAGCGGCGTCTCTTCCCCGAAATCTACGATTTCTACCCTCCTACTTGGTTTCTTCCGCATCAGTTCGACGAATGGGCCTCCCAGGCTGCTGAACGTACGTCCACCAACCCCTCTACTTCCAGCATTTAAGCTCTCTACGCCATTATTACGGCTTGTAGGTCTCCATTAAGTAAAAGTCTGAGTTATTATCGGTAACCGAAATCGACTGACTTAGGAACACTTAATACAATGGTACTGGTTTTTTTTAGGAAATCGGGAATAAAAACGGTAATGGAAACTCTCTTTTAGCCAGCGGGAAAGTGTTTAGGCATGACAAAATACAGACAACTTGATATAAAGCCTCTGCTTTCGACTTAGAACTTGTTTAACCCGCAAAATTAGGTGACTGAGAGCTTACACACGGGAAAAATGCTTGAGCTAATTGCGAATAAGCTGCTGCCGCTGAACGAAATCGTGACCCACCTTAGCACATTCTGACAAAAAGGTTAAAAAAATTGGGCCAATGGGACAGAAACGAGTTGAAGTCTAAATGATACAAATTGCAGACACCCCTGGGACAATGACGTACATAGTGAAGCCCAGTGGCGGCGCACAGGGCAGGGGCATCTACCTCGTGCAATCACCAAAAGAATACTGTCTGGAACAGGCGGCGTCCCGCGGAAACGGCGCACACCACAGCGCCCACTCTGTCGCAGACCCCTCAGTGTGCCTCATGGCGGATTCCATGGGCTTCCTGCCAGCCCGCCATGTGGTCCAGCAGTACGAGCACCAGCCGGTGTTGGTGGGCGGTTACAAAGCGGATCTGCGAATCTATGTGGTGGTGGAGTCGATTCAACCACTTCGGATCCACGTCTACAGAGATGGGCTTGTTAGACTTGCAAGCCAACGGTACCAGCCCCCAGACCCCTCTAACATGAAAAATGTAAGTCACATTCACATGTGACCACATGGGAAGGTGTCTAACGTAGACCTCTATGGTGCAAAATTAAAAGCTATTTCTATTTGCTTTTTGAGAAATATTTTATAACATATTTCCATGCTTCCCTCAGTACTAGTGATAATATGAGATAATTACCAAGGGACAATATGTGTCTGCTGTAAATAAAACGCTCTCCCACCACGGGTGCTTTACTGAGAAATGGTCACCGGTTTTCATGTTATAGAATTCTCGCCTTAGAGATCTGTCGACAAAGTGCTTTCTCTGAAGCTTTTTCTTCAAAAATCTGCTGTTTGTACTTTTTTCATTTAAAGTAGATGTTATTTTATTTAAATTATTTAATTTTACAGAAAAACCTAATTGATTTTGTGTGGTGTTCGCCCACCTGACCATTGGGCAGACATTTTGATCCACTAGAACCGGCACTGAACTATCGACAGAGACTAGTAATCATAGAAGAGGTACCAATTCCTAGTGCATAATTTTTCCCAAAAAATTCGTGGACTTAACCGAACCTTACAACAACTCCGCTCACGAACCTGCCGGTTAACTAGACGATTTGACTAATTAAAACCTCTGTTTAATTGAGATGATGAATGCCGCTATAAAAGTGCAGTATTATAACTATAATACAACGGCCATCGAATGAAGTTTGGCCAGGTCATGAGCTACAGTATTTGTCTTGATGCTACCGCATCCTCTTCATCTATGGTTGCATGCAGGAAATGATAGAATAACAGCCAACCTTTTCGGAACCGGTCTACCATGAGGTGCATGTCAAGGCAAACAGTCAGTAAGGTTTAACCTGGTGGAAGTGCTCAGACTCCACTAACGAAATAACGGGTCTTCTTGATGATTTCAGAGTAAAATGCACTTGACCAATTATTCCATCAACAAGTTCCCCGATATCTCAAAGTCAGCTGAGGCACAGCATTCCGTGTGTACAGATACCGAAGAGATTGGAGATGCCACACGCATCCCTCAGGAGCCCTACGCTCCGGAACTCAACGACGGCGGCAACACGAACTCATCGGCCTTGAACCCCTCCGCCGGCCCGAACACGGTGGCATGGCAGTGCAAACGCCGGCTCCACCATTTTCTCAACCCTCGAGCCAGCATTAGACGCGCTTTGGGCAACTGGAAACTCAGTCCGGCAACGTTTTGGCCCAAAGTGGACGAACTCGTTCGAAACACGATATTTGCCCTCGTGCCGCACTTGCGTGTCGCCTATTGGGCGGAGTGCCAAGCCAATGCAGGCGACAGTGCCAATGCAGGCAAGGCGAATTCCAACAAGGAGCTACCTCAATGCTTCCAGGTACGAGTCGGGAATTCGAATGGGGGGCTAGAAGCATTTGCGGTAATGCTCCTGACCGGGTAAAAGCTGATTCCTGAAGAAACCCGAAGAAGCCCAAAATAAAATGAACAGGGGCTGACAAATTGTCAGTATTTGAGAGAGGAAAAGCCGAAGGTACAAAGCCGGAGGCCAAAGCAAATGGCAATGCCGAAAGTAACCGCTTTGTCCTGGACGAAAATTACCCACGGCGAACAGAACAGTTGTGACTGGGGGATTCAGTCGCCAACTTTAAAAATAGCAGGCTTAACTGATTGGATCAGTGACGGAGGGCAGTGGTTTAGTGAGGGGCGTAACGCGACATGCGGCAGAAACCTGCAATGGGTTGCAGCCAGCTCTTGGCTCGCGCGGATGCAGAGGCCATTTCTCAAAATAGCCTCGTGTTCTCACGAATCTCTCGAAAATTAAAATCTATCCTTCATTTTAACGAAAATGACTTTATGCGAAAGACGTCAACCTTATGCCAACCACCCATTATCCTCGATTCTAGGGTCTAATCTATCGCAACTATTAATTTATGTTTTTTTTTCACAGTGACCTATAATATGGATGTGATTTCTGTTGCATAAAAATATTTTAGCACGGGGTGAAATCCTAGCCAAAGAGGATTGTTCAAAAGTCTCACACAACAGGAAAAATGACTAAAATTAAAATTAATAGGCTAAACACTGCTGCATTTCATTCTGATTTGATCGTAAAAATCTAAACTGCTGCCAAGATGGGGAACTGAGCTGATTCTGGGTCCTCGAGTTGAATCTCTGGCACCCCGCAAAATGCTTCTCTTTTCTAGATTTTCGGCTTTGACCTGCTTCTGGTAGAGCCCGATTTTCGTCCGGTCTTGCTGGAAGTGAACAGCAGCCCAAGTCTGCGAATCGACTGCATGCGTCCGCTGGTCCGCTACGCCAGCGTCGCCACCCGCCAGGGCCTCTCGCCCTCCATCGTCGTCAATTCGCCCAAGTACTCAGCATTCTACCGATCCCGGGTCGACGAAGTGGTGAAATTGGGTCTTCTCAAGGCCACGCTTCTGCTCATGGGTAGCCGCATCATCCACCAGCGGCTGAGTCGCCACGCTCCCGAAAAGGCCGAGGCTTTTCTGGCCACATGCGGCTACAAACTGCCAAATATAATGCGGGAAGATGATAAACAGTCGAAGAAATCACCTACATTTGATGTGTTAGTTGACTTTCGCTTTGTCCGTAACTGGTGACATGAGTCTCCTTGAAAATCTACATTTCCCTAATCAATGATTAGTGGTGTAGAGTTAGCTTGAAAGGTAGGGCACAACTAAACACCGCATTGTGAATCGAGGTGCAGTAAACCGACCAAGATATTATCCTGTCCTAAACACAGCAACAATTGCTTGCTTTTTAAGTCTCCATTTTGTAATCCATTGATGGGTAAACTTAATTGCGGCGAGCTATTTTTCTTACAACCTAATTTACAACTTAAAACGTAAATTTTTCTGTAGGGGTGTAGGTATTGCGCTAGACTGCCAATGATCAACATCGAAAGTCATCACGGAATTGTGTGGAACCGGGAGATGGAAATTAATGCTACGTCACCAGGGGCTTCAGTCGATGTGTTCTATTCATGTTACAGTTTACCGGTGCACAGATGCAAAACCCCGGGCGCAAATAACTGGAGCCCCATGTTAGCACGCTAAAGGCCTTGCCCACACTAGCCCTCGAACAAAGCACTTATGAGTCAGTGACTCGCAAACTAGGACGAGACACGAGAGAGTTCTTAGTGCCTCAGTCAAAGGCCGAGCGCATGTTCACATACGTCCGCTTCTATATGGCATGGTAGGACCTAAGTACAACAGAAATAGGTGAATGGGTCAACAGTCCTGGGCATCCTGAAACTCCAACAATTAACGAGGCTTGTCATGTGTTCACACAGTACTCTTCCCTGTTCGTGTCTTTCCAAAAGTTTCCCAAATATCGCCCGTGAACACCCCGTCCAACACTTGATTGGTTGCAGTCCAGGCCCTCGACGCAGGAGCAACTGGATTTGCGATCAGATCTCCCAGATCTACTGTAGCCCACCACCTCGAGAGAACAACAACGGTTCACGGAACTCTGCTGTGCGGAAGAAGCCCGAAGCTAACGCGGCTCAGGCGGTAGTCCCCACACCGAAGATAACGGAATCAGTCAGTAACATCGCATCACTCGCAGCACCTGTCTGGCCGCCCTTAAGACGTCCTTCAATCCACACGGCCTATGGAAGACGAAGACTAATTGAAAAATTGAGCGAATTCTTCATGACACAGAGGTTGTCACAGTCGTCCAGGTAAGTTCATAATTTCCAAACTTGGGCAAAGATTATAAACACTAGCACTTGAATCGTGGAATACTGTGTATATAAAACTTGTGCTATTTGACCTTAACTCTTTCAAAGTAATCACTATCGAAGCACAATACGAGAAGAGAAGGCCGAAGGCACGAGACTATGTAAGTGTACGAACACGTGAGTATTGAAGGGGTGGTGTCACTGTAGGTAGTTATGATAAAAGGCGAAGTGAGAGATCAAGAATCGTGTGACAAAGCGGAAAGATCTGATGATCCTAAAAATGTCGCAGTCATCCCGTATATTTGAACTCGCAGTCCTCGTTACATCACCATTGCGGCTTCAAAGCGGATTTCATAAACTGTCGACGTACTTGTTACTGTGAATAGAGCCTGTATTTCCCATCCTCGTCTACTTGCTTTCTTCAAGATTGAAGGAGCTTCGCTAGTTCTGTACCTATTTTAAAATCCAGTAATACGGCTCAGGGAAAGTAATTTAATGTTAACCTCAATAATTTCTATCGTTTTCAAAAGAAATTAACTTTAAAACAGGTGGATTTATTAGAAGGAAAGTAAGGTGCGTCCATGCATACAGTTTCAAGCAGTAAAGCTCATGTCAGAAATTGCCAACACGAAATATTTCAGTGGACTCAAAAGTAGAAATACGTAGAAACGCTTTTTCTCTCAGGCAAGCAAGAAACAGACTCCACTGTGTCTACGCAGAAGACGGCATCTACCCTGTTAATGCAGGAGTCTTCACGGACAACGACAATGCAGTTACCTGCCGTGAGGAAGACAACAAAGAGAGGAATCCAGCAGGAGACCAAAGGGTGCGTATTCTATCTCTAGCTAAGTGGCATTTTGACTTAGCAAAATCATGCACTCTTTTCGTGTCTGTTTTGCGTGTTTGAGTCAACAGTCCAGTGACTGTTTTCTTGAGGGTTCCATTAGTTGTCCGATTCATGGAATACGAAAAAGCAAGGTTTAGACATGCACAAGGGGCCAGATTTTATCCTCAAAAATGTGGTGATTAAGTCTGCAAAATACGGAGACAAGACGTAATTAAGTTAGGGAATCTCGACTAAACCGAAGCCAATGAGGAGAAACATACGTGAGTAAAAAGCTAAAACAGACTGCTGCTTCCATCTTATTCCTCATGATATGGACTCTTGAAATGTAGGTATTTTTAAGTCTAGTTAGGCATTTTCTGCTTTTGGCGCATCTTTAAAACGCTGAGCTCTGAGTTTTATTTGGCTGCTTGACGCAGTGCACCCTCACTCGATAGATTTCAACGATGAGGCGTAATTAAGTTAGGTAACCAGATGTACTTGTTTTTGTCTGCATTGTGACTCTTGTTTTATTAAAGTAGTGTTTAGTCACTTAACTAGCTTTGTTCTCGAATGTGAACACCTTTGCTAGAACCCCTGTGTACTACAGTTAATCAGCTATGTGAAAACACGTGCATTTATTCATTGTCAAGTCTTTAACCAATCAGCGAGGACCGCTGCAAATAACTCCTTCACTCAGCATTCCAACTCACCGCGTGTGTCTGAATTTACGATGAGTGCATACAGCTAAACTATCAGTGGCTTCGAGGTCCATGCTCGGGTGTGAATTGAAACTCTCTCGAGCTTCGAACCCGCTGCTTGTAGTTGATTTCAATTCATCAAACTGACACCTTCAGCCTTCATTTGACTAGGCTTGCAATTCTAAAGTCAGGCGTTTCGTTCAAGCTAAAGCCGATTTAACAATATAACACCCACCTAAGCATAAGTTCCACAATCATGTCTTTCGTTTGGACTAACAGAAACCAGTGACTAAGAAGGTAATAAAGTAAAGTCACACTGGCCGTTTAGTTGCCAAGTTTCGAGCAACTGAGAAATATGCAATGGACTACCGAGCCACGGGCCGCATGTGCGAATGAATTCGGACTTAGACAATTGTCCTAATTAAAGCGACTCCGATTAGGACAAGACGCTGAATACTTTAAGCAAATGGAAGTGGCGAAAGCATTTCTGTGTGTATTCAGCCTTATGCTACTTCCTGCCTACCATTAAATTCTCGCTTAACTTGGAGTTGACGTTAAAGCCTCGAAAGTTGCGCTTGCAGTACAACGGCTGGTTAAAGTGGGTAGTACGCAGCACGAGGGCCTGTCGACGATGAAGCCACTGATTTGCTGCATAGAGTGCATGGCTTAAAGTAATGTTGAAGTCAACGCGTGGCACGTCGACGTGGGTCACGGAAATTATTAGCTTGATTCTTTGAAGCCATCTTGTGCATTTCCCATACGAATGCAGTAAAGGTACATTTATTTGGTATGCACTAACGTGTGCGCCATCAGTTGGTTTTGGCGCCTTTTGGACAGACCAAAAATATAAGTAAGGAGATGAATTTACCATTTTTTCTTGATTCAAAAAGAAAAACACTTTTTTTGTAACTTTTTACTTGCAACTCTAATTAGCAAACACCATCAGTAACGAAGCCTCCACAACCTGCTGGACTCTGAGACTGCGTTTTGATTTGGACTGTAGCCAGAAGCCATGAGAGCTGCTTTCCAAAAGAAGTAAAGTGTTTGTAATCACTTGGGGATTTGACTTATTGTTGTGAATAATGATTACAAAAATCAAGTGTATCCTTCATCTTAAGAAATTGCCAACTCGCAGCCTAATTAGATGCCTACAATTACGTGGTAGCAACCACAGTACCTCACCTGAAATCTACTAGATCTGGTTGGGAAAAAGGTATAGGGTATTTGCATGATTAACTTAGAAGGCGCTGATAGAAAGCAGGCAATTGGTGTGCTAATTACTCTTCATTCTCGCAAAACATCGTTACGTGCTCACCCCGCTTTGAATGCATGCGACATGGTTGCTTGCTAGTGTCCTTGCAAAATGTCGATTAATTATGGACGTTCATTTTGGTGTTATAATACTACCGAAGCATCTCAGGACAAAACTTGTGGTTGTCGTGTCACGCAACACTAAATTGGGCATATAATCGAGGACAAACAGACCAATCGTGACCACGTTCACGAGAAAGGTACAAAAAACGAATAGTTCCTTCTCTGTATCACTCGCCCTATGATTTAACCCTCACTTAGGTATTTTCTGCTCATCTGGTTAAAAAAACCTCACATTTGGCACAGATTTCAAGCCGTATTCTTCAACATTTTGGCACTGTCCCAACCATCAATCACACTTTTTGCCAAGCGCGACCAGCGTGTGTGACCTTGAATTTGCCAATTAGCATAAACGCGCTTTGTTCCGCTTCCGTGAAAGCCCCGTTCTCGACTGTTTTCATTAGGCCTCAACTCGATAATGTGCGCTCTATGCACCGTGAACGCACAGGTAAACAGTGCAGATCAGTGGCTACATAAGAGATTAGGTTACTTGGCGAACGCAAACGCTTCTGTTTAGTTTAATGGATACGCTTGAATAGGCATTTCCTTTCTCGGGAGATAATCAAGTAGTCATATGCAGACTTACCCGAATACGGATCTGTCAATGAAATGGGCCTTATTTGTCAGTTTTCCGTGTGCACTCGTGACTTTACGATCACTACCCGCGTGTACGAAGCTCATGCTTACTTCATAAAACGCAGTCATCCATTTGAGGGCACTTATGCAGACCAAAGTAATGTGGAATTTCGCTGGTTTGATAGGAAAACCAAAGCCACTTTTCCAAATCCAGTTTCTTAACGCTCTACTACAGAATGTCCCTCATGTGGTAAAGAGCTTTTATTTTTTTTTAATGGTAGGATGATGAAGGTGATACAAACGGGATTCCAGAAGTCGCCACAACTGGGGTACGTGTTTTTCTTTTAATTTCTGCTTCAAATAATCACGTGAGTTTGTTAACTTCCAGAAGCAGTCACCGTTGAGCTATACGGTCAGGTCCTAGAGACAAAGTACCAAGAGTTCTAATTTTTCACAAGCTAGGGCTAATTGTGTTAACAGGTGACATGCAGCCAACGTTGTGTGTAGACACCCAAGTTTGAGACGTGGCTGGAATAGCGCCTCTTTTGAAAAGGTCAATGTCCCTGCGGAAAAGACCTCACGCGTCAAGGTCTGTTTCGGCGTTGTTATTCTCGGGTGTGCGTGATGCATTGAGAAATCTAGACACATTGGACAGTCTTGAGAGGATCCACAGGTGCCTGGAATGCAACTGATTTTACTAAACAGAAAACGAATGGACGTTGTGATGTTGCTCCATTTATACCTCTAGATAAAGAAGAGCGATTGTGTCATCTGATAACGTGTTTTACTTATCAATTCGTGTCGGTGGGCTCGTTCAACTTCAAGACGCCTACCATAACGAACTTGATTCCGGACGCTCAACCAATGGAGCTTAATTTGGTCTTAGCATGTAGGGCACTAGAGGATAGCTGTTGGTGCCCAGTTCCAACATTGATCTTGTTCAAGTGCCTGAAAAAAGAATAAAGCAGAATTTCATATGACTAAAAACCCCACCGTTTGAATTCTACTCACACCAGACATTCGATAGGTTCACACTTCATGTCGCGACTAAGTTGCAGATTGTTTCGGAAAAATTATCCACTAGAAATTCCTGCGACAAACCATGCAAAAAATGCGTGAATTGAATACACACTATTTGTTCAGACTCAGTGTTATTTGGGAGTCAGACAGCATGTACAAACAGCTTGTCTAAATACACCAATTAAAAGTAAGCAACTTCCTAGTGTCGGTTCGCCTAAATGGATTCATGTAGTTTTGTAACAAATCGTAAATCCTAAGGCGGGACATCAGGGGAGGGGGCGCAGTTTTAAGATTAGCATCCTGGTTACCTTTCAACCGAGAACACGCTAAAATGGTTTCTTTAGACAGCATGTAGGTGGTCGAGCTACCTTCGTTACAACAGGAGACGGTAGAATAGTTTCAAATATTTTGTTAGCCCGTTACAATAGCCATACACTAATTCTCGACCGGTACTCCTAAATAAACATTTATCTCAAAATGATAAACATACGTCCCTTCAAACCAGACTGTGACCATCGCACGTGCCCACATTCACCTTACCCAGTTTCGTGTGTGTCGAGGTAACTGACAACGTAGTCCAGTCGTGGTATTGGTTTCAACTGGAATTTTGAATCCTGACTACGTGTCGATGAACCAAAATCATGCTAACATGACACCACAATTTGCAATGATACCACGTATTCATGTTTTTGCGACCTGCCTTTCGTTGTCATTCTCCTTTAATATCTAAAAAATCTAGTGAAACGTAGCACACGTAACTAAAAAAAACATTAGAGCAGCACAGATCAGCGATGGATGGTAGAATAGTTCCCCAACGTAGCATCGACAACCTTTGGCCCCATTGCTTTCGCATCAACCAAATTAGACGAAGACAAACCACTGAAGGTGTCGGAGGTGCTGACGTCGCCTGGTTTGCCTCCACGCTAGTTAAGCATGATCGAAGGCGAAAAACCAAAGCCGCTCGAGATGCCCTACCGCCAGGGGCTGCGTGAGTACCCGCTGCCGAATCCACCCCCGGAGAGCTCTGTGACGCACCTTAGGGCGGTGGATCGTCTGGCTGAGATCTTCATCAGCATCCTCTCGGAGCGGCATGGCTCCGCGGACGCCACACACAAGTCATCCCAAACTGCCAACGAAGTTTCGAATCAAAAAGACGACCATACCCCATCCCCAGCAACTCTTCGCAGCCACGAGAGGCGTTCGCACTCCACTCCCCACAATCCCTCAGCTGTTCACACAGACGCAAATGGAAAACCATCGACATCTCACCAGTACATAGTTAATGGCAGTAATGGATGTAATCCGGCTGTCGATATGCCGATTCCTCGAATGAATGCTGCAGCATTTCGGACATTCCTTCAGTAGGTGCATTTTGATGAAAATTGTTACATTGACTAATTATAGCTACAAGAAGTTTATGGCATCACACTTAGTGCCCACTTTTCAGACGCACAAAGTACTCCCTCGCTTGACTCATAAATCTGAGCTTAAGGTGACCATTAACTACGCTATAGAAGGTCTTTACAAAATTTTTTTTTATGAAGGAGATGCAAACTCAAGTCCCTTGGAATTTCCACTCAGGAGATGGATCTACTCTATGTGAAACACAGGCTCTATTGGCACCGGGTGTTTGAGCCAGAATTCCCTGATGCAGATAATGGTAAGATTACCAACTCACATCGTCGCAGATTCCTCCCCACCAGATAAGCTTCTTGTGGTGGAGATAAGTACGGAGTCAAAGAGTACCCCCCAATCTATTTAACACCATTTTTATGTCGACAAACCTAGGCAGTATAATTTGCCCGAGTGTAATTAGCCTGGGGCGAAATAATGCATACACTGCTAAAAGTCCTCATCGTTATTAAAAAGGTCTCATGGCCAAATACTGCGTTCTCCCATTTAGGCATTTCATTCCCAGCCTTTGTTGAGCTCTGTTTGAGGATCGCACTGAATCACTATTGGCCGATCATCAGTTCGGATCCAGACTTTTCAAGGATGTCGACAACCAGCCCAACAGGTTCCAGAGAAAAGGGCAACTTTTTCTCCACTTCCGAAATACCGCAAATGGCATTCTCTTCCTTCGTGGACCACTGTTCCAACGTCCTAAAAGCCCGCAACGCCAAGCCGGTCCCCCCACCAGAAGATGAATTGAAACAACCAAGGAACTCCAGATATCTTAAGACTCCCCACCAACGAGAGGCACGCACTCATACTAGAAACAGTAACCAGGTTTTACATCGGAGTCATTGTTGGCTTGCCCCTTAGTTTCATTTCAAGTCAAGCCGCTTACAGAGTATACGTGTGTGAACATGTCAAGTATTCTAATTTACTTCTGCCCTGTCGATCTTGCCGCCTTTCCGCTGACCTCCTGCTTGGCCGCCACTTCACCGAGTAGACATCCAGCGGGAAGCATACACAAAGCTTACAAATCAAGAGGCATTGTGCGTAAACGAGGGTCTTTTTCTTATGCATCTGGTATTACATCACCAATAGATCATCATCGTCTTCCTCTGTCGCCTCACCACCAATAGGGAAATCACTTCTTTCGCATTCCTGTGACTGAGACAGTAAGGAGGATGCTGGTGGGTTGTCTGCCTCCTCAAGATCTGGCGAGAGTAGGCTGCCGGAGGGCATGTGGAATTCCACATACCCACTGGGCAATCGTTCCGCCCTTCTGTACAAGTGGGGATGGCAAATTCGGCGGCAGCAATCCTTGGGTGAGAGATAGGCACAATCAAAAGTTTTGACAACCTCACCAGAGTCTCTGCTTAAACATAAATCGCGAGGACATTGACTCACAACCTCAAGAAGGCCATCCACAAAAAAATACAGCAAGATTTAAAGTCACAGAATAACACCGGAAATGTTGCATTAGGCGGTTAGATTTCTCCAACTCCGCTTCCTTTTTAGCATCGAGAATATCACGCCAAAATCCCATTCGTGACCCGTAGCTTAGAAAGGAAGCATCACTAAGTTCTGTAATAGATGTGAACACGCGCAGCACTGTACGCTTTTGCTAATGGCTACGTTATTTCAAACTAAGCGCTTAAGGCTAGTCGCTCTGCAGACTTCTCTGAAGAAATGAAGCCTGATATTAGAGGGTGTCGTTTGTGGTAGGAACAGTTCCTGGGTTTAGCTTGGACTATTGAGACTCGTGTTCACTTTATGCAGTGGTTTTTACCAAGGTTTGTCATTTTGCAAAGTATTCCCACTAAGCTGAGATAAGAGGAAAACAACTAAGAAAAACAGAGGAAAATGACTTGGGTCTAGTTCCACTAATGGCTGACTTGCTGAACCAAAAAACTTGAGAGATCGTGTAAGTTTGTTTGAGGATTTAACGTTCCGTCGAATTAGGTAAGAATGTACAAAGCAAGTTTCCTGTATGGATTACAAAACGGTGCTACTCCACTATCCGCGAAGCCCTAAGTAATTAATAACTTAGAGGTAACAAATTTCTAATATGTGGAGAAACCTAACACTCGACGCATCTTGGTTTTCTGTGTCACAAGAGACAACGGCTAAATTATTATGCCACGATAAATTGATTTCCCAAATAGTCCTAGTTTTTGGCTGTAATGCTATCACTTACCGAAAAAAAGTGAATACAGCCGCGCCAAACGGCAACATTGGGTATAACGTTGACGCCACGATGACCTTTGAAGGCGTAATTCACGGTTGCTCCGGTCACGAAGTACAAGCCGAATGCCCCAATCAGACTACAAATGAAAATCTGGATTTTCAGAAAATACAAGCAAGGCTTCGAGGTTGCAATCACGTTAAGTGGGTGTTGAATGCGGGCGAATTCGCAGGAACTCAGTAAAGAACTTTACTTGACATAGGTATGACTACGTTGATTATATTTAGAACATCAGGTTACACTAGAAAGGAGAATCACAGCGATTCCCAACGGAGTTAATACTATTTAAAAAAGGTTAGATAACTTAGGAACACAAAAATAGCGGGAGTTCGGTTTCGGGACACTTGTAATTCATCTTCTACACGTGTTCATGTGTTGATCCTTGTGGTAACCAATTGTAAAAAAGGTCAACTGCGCCGTACAATGGATACGTTGACATTAGAAAGTGTGCATGGCACACGGGAGTTGAGGACTGTCTTGTTCCTTGTAAGAAACCGGATCCGTCGAGAACCCATTAAACTCAGCATGCAATTTGGTGCTGAGTGCGAAGCAAGTTTTAATGATAGCCCGAAGTGAATGCAAAACACAAGCACACTCTTCCACCACATTTCCACGATACTCAAGTGCAAGAATGCGTCTCGGCACCACTTAAAACCTTTCATAGTGAAGCTAATTTATAATTCCTTGGCGCCTACTGGAGCCGTTTTGTGGCTTCAAATGCATTACTTGCAACATGGGGAGAGTTGTGGATTTTTTACATCCTATTCACATTATTATAGGATTTCCTTTGTGTTTAGTCCCTGGGTGAGTTCAAAGGCTAAAGGGATTAATAAATCCCGCATTTTGAATAGTCAAACAAGGAAACCGATGTTTCAACATACAACTGCAATCCCTTTCCAACAGCTGTTTCTACATAGTCCAGTCAAAGTCTATTATTCAGACACAACGAACACCCATTCACAAACACATTTGAGGAAGAGAAATCACTAGACCCATAGGACTGACTTTCCACTCTTGTCGCAGCAAGTAAAGCCGAAACATTTCGCTGTTGTGCTGAGACGTTCGGGCTTTCTAGCTTGACCTTACTTAACCAATGTGGCTAAAACCGGTTCTAAACAATGACGAATGGAAAGTAATGAAAAACGGCTAAGTGTGCTGCATTCGAACAATAATCTGTAATTTTACACAAATTGATTGGTTCTTTTTTATCGAATTTTGAGACACAGCTTTATGTAGAATTTAAAACAAGCTAATGCTTCCAGGAACAAAGTGTCCAAACAACTAATTTAAATGAGATGAACCAAAACTCACCAAAGTACTAAAATGAGGGCTACACTGGAGCCAAAACCAAACATTCGTGAACATAGGCACGGATGCGTTAAAAGAAACAGGTGAATAATCGAATCCTTGTAAACCAGTTCAAATGATGCCTACAAATATGTTAAAGGACGCAGCAACATACCACAGGAGAACACAGTAGGACAATTAAAAACGTTTCAAAATCGCGAAGAGATAAAAGTTCATTTGATTCTATTACAAAACCAGAACCAGAAATAAAACGAGTTTCATTGACCACCTTCTGGGATAGACTGCAGCAAAGGCAAAGCGTATAAGAGTGATTGCTGGTTGAGAAACTAAATACAGATAGCATTAATTTCACTTGTTACTTAGTATTTTTGATTTGGTTCAAGGCTTGAAGGATTGGCAAGGACGTGTTACTTGAGTTGCAAACTTCAGCCGACTTGGCGCACATAAACATGTGGAAGAAGCACAGCCCAAAAGAAACAAAATGAAAAAGCTCCATCTGCTAGCAGTGTTGCAAAGTCCGAGAAATGGCTAAATTTGAGACAAAAACCAGACCGTTCTGAGATCGTGACAACACATTAAAATAGAGAAGGCGGTAAAAAATTAGAACTTTATTACCACAAAGAAGTTAGAAATTCAGGAAATAAAGCAAAATATGCCCAGTTCTACAAAGTGACGAAATCACACGTGTACTAAAATTTAACCGTTATCATTAAAAAAGAATCATTTAGAGGTAACGCATATGCATATACGTGGAGGGAATTTCGACGACAGACTATACTTCGACAGTACTCCGATAGACAGGATAAAGACTGGCCGCAGAAGACCACTACGGTTACCGGCCTTAAAAGTAGCAGTGGTTGAAAAGTCAGCGTCTACTCTTCAGTTCCAATTTCCTGTAACTGTAAATCGCAGAAAGTTGACTCTGAGAAATTAATGCGAACAGTCCGAATGCAATGCAACAGTAATAAAAACGAACACCTATATTTCCAACAGAGCTATTATTAACTAAAAGTGCAATAAATGTCCGCATAAAAACTTTAATCATGAAGAATCAAGTAGCAAAAGGGGAAACCATAGAAAGTAGAGGCCTTGCATTTACGGATTGTGCGCATTTTATTTTATTAATTATAAAAAAATCCAAAACCAAGAAAATGGATTTGGCTTTTGATATCGGTTTCTTTTTTAAATTAATAATACAAAAGCATAAATCTGCCTTAATTTAATAATTGGAACAAAAAGGGATATCTAGTCGTTCAGGTTTCCTAAACGGAATTAAAGTTCGGAAAAAATGGATAACAAAGAATATTCGGGTGACTTGAAAAAACTTCACGCTGTTGAGCACAAGAGTGATATACAATTCAATTAATTTCACCTATTCAAATTTAAAAAAAACATTCGTATCTTTGCATATTAATTGTAAATGCAACAACTGAAATACGTCATGCGAATAATTAATTTGAGCTACTTAACATTAAGATCACATGATGTCTTGCACCGTAAGAGAAAGTACAAACTGTTTTTTCGTATATTGGGTCTCATTGGAAGTCAAAATTAAATATATTTAACTTATTGTTAGAAATGACGACAAAAGCAGGCGTTCCTGCCACTTAGGAAACTGACAAATTGCGGGCTATTTAACGTCCTAAATAATAAAAATGTGTTTGCCACGGCAACTCAAATGATAACTGCTGGATCTGATAGAGTTTATAATAGTGGTCATTTGCTTGATTTTCATAGAAGGCGTTGAGAGAAGATAGAGACTTAGAGTGCTGGTAACTCCTCAATTTTGCAAAAAAATCGGGTCAAGTGCTCATTTTACTTTAAAGGCTTTTGACATTATTGTTTGCGATCGTCCTCGCTGAATGTCATTGCCATTTTAGAATCATTACGAACTGCTTTTGTTAATAACAGTATTAGTATGACATTTTATTGATATTTTCTCTTTAATGTGCATATTCCTGACTGTTTGATTTCCTATCCATTGGCTGCTTCTTTTGCTAAGCTCGTATGCATCACTAGGTTTTGTAAAATAAGTATCAATTATTACCCGAGAGATGCTCACCAAGTTCGTTTATGGAGTAAATTTTGTTTTGTATATTTTGTATATTCCGATAGAGATAAGACCATATGTTTTAAAAACTAATAACCACCGAATTTTACGTTTGATTACAATTTTACACTATATTTGAATGCACAACATTTGTTAAAAAATTTTTGATACAGGTGCAGGGGCAGTGCACTAAGTTCTCATTTACTCAAGACAATTATTAAACTAAGTCTATACCATTAACTTGATCTGGTTAAATCAAGTGTTTGATCTACATTTTTACGAAACCACTGAGCTGTTCATGAAGAAATTGCAGATGAAGCTAAGCAAGTAAGGAAAGCCCACCAACACTTTGTGGCGAGCACAGTTACCAATCATGAGCGAACGCAGTTAGCAGTCGTAAGCGAACACGATTCAATCGATTTTTGCGAACTCAACTCTGCTCATTCAGGGATGGATGCTTAGCGAAGCTATGTAAACGCACTCGTTATCCTGTACACACTCACACCGTTGTATCAATAAATTAGTCGAGCTACGCGCCATCAGCATTTTACGCTCTTTTTTCGGTTGGGCCTTGTATATGCAGATTGTCGGCCCTAGTGTGGTTTCTAAAACCGCATCGGGCCCCACTACAACTTAAAAGGCAAGGCAAATATCACACTTTGAGGTCTATTAATATCTTTGACCATGTAACTTCGCTTATACCAGATCCAGCAATAAGGTACTAACATAATGGACGATCAAATAATGTCAGTAATGCAGAATTTTAGTCACTGATCAAGCAGTAATGAAGTAAAGACACACCCAACACAAAAAATTCAAAACTGAAGTAACTATTGTGATTAATTTTGGTGCCAAATTGCATATTCCCAAGTTTGAAAGAAACTCTATTTTCATATCATATTTAAAAGAAAAGTAAATTAAACGGTAACTGCTTTGGTCACTTTTGAGTGTTGCACGTTTCATCTAGAGCTAAAGACAACTGAGGACCCTAAAATGGCAATAACTAATCATATAGGTTATAGTAATGAATTGGCTGCTGCTGATAATTTCAATCTCTAGGTAAAGATTTTAGATGTAATGTATATTATTCTTCGTTCCTTGCATACTTCTACAAGCTTAACCTACAGTATTGGACAGAACCGAATAAATCCGCAATTTAATAACCTCAAATCAAGTAGACTGTACCACTGTCCATCAAGGTAAAAAATGACGTTGAATGCAATGGCATGAATAGTTCCGATTTATTAAGTAAACCCGCTCGGCCCACTTAACGCTAAGGCTTTAAAACACGATGGTCTTATTAAGGTATAGAAACCTTCATTCCCTGCTGAATCTGACCAAACGGGCCTAATTGGATTTTGATATTTCGGAGGCCAAGTAGAAGCATCTAAGGACACTATAAAACCGTTGATTGAGACTCATTAAAAGAATAAAACAAGTTACTGCACAGTTAGATAACTATGATTCCTGTTAATGCAAGTTCAGCACGACACTGCAGCTGCTTCCGACCCAGAAGCACTGTCCTATTTCCCACAGTCTTTGCACTCGTGTTCACCCATTTGTTTATGCACACCTCTGTTCATTTGCCATTCAAACATTTGTGCCTCATTAAACATGCATGATTTTTTTGCACATTACTGCAACACACACATCAAAATGAAGTTGAGTCACCTAATAACACCTTGCGTCTTTGCCATCAAGAGTATCAGCGCTATGTGTGAAATACACCCATAGAGTCAGGCGACAGCAACATGACTATCTGGCAGGATTAACAAGAATTTGGTCTAATAGGAATCAGATAAACACAAAGCCCCTATTGCCCCAAAAATTATCCCCGTTTCGGACTGCATTGATAATCATTTTAATAAAAAAATTACATGTTGAACAGAGTAAGTGCTTTGAACATTTCGGTGAACAGTTAAAATATTTGTAATTACCAAAGCAGTTGTTTTAAAAACATAGTGGTACCGAAGGATTAGGTCGGAGACATAAACTATATTAATTTATTCCAACTACAAACTTTTTTCTAGTATCCATGCCTACCAAAAAATATGCCACCTGCGGTTGAGTTTAAAGATTCAGAACACATTCACCTTACAAACGTGAAGCGAAATGTCTTCATTTGATTATGCCAAGTTGATGACAAAGAAACATAAACACAGTCACAGATTTATTGGAAACCGAACCTTTATATTTGCATTCAATGAATTTATATAAAAACTGATGGTTTAGTGACATGAAAGTTAAACAGGGGTCATTAAGAGTTATTATGTACCAGATTCTTCATCAATAATAATCGACCGCATAAACCAAGAATGGGAAGATCGGGTAGCTAGTAGATTTCAAATTAATTCATACTCTACAACTGAGCAAGATGGGATCAGAAGTTAGAAAAAGAAAGTTTAATGATTGGTTAGCTTTCGATTTAGGAAGCCCATTTGCGGAGGCAGTAAGTCACATGTTCTCGGGGCATATATCAAAACTTGAATCTGCATAAAAGACCCAAAGGCATGACGATAAACAAGTTACATAAGATAAAGGAAAGCAGGATTGTAAAAAAATACGATGGGACAGAAGACAAGCCTGTGTTACCAATAGTCGTTTTTTAATATGTATATCCATTTTCGATTAGTAAAAAAGATAAAAGGCGAGTACGTTGACTTGGACAAATTTGACCCCAATGTTTGCCTGCAAAAAACTCAAGTCACAATAAATAGTGCACAAAAAGTAGACCAATTTTCAAATTTATTAAAGTGACAGAATTAAAAAATGGATGCATTTAGAATGAGCTTGCATGCCAACGCTATGTCATTTTTGGTTGGACTTTTAATACTAGTAAAGATGTAATAAATCATGTTAATATTCGACCATAAATCTTGTCGTCGCATGCTCCAATACTCCGTTTTATTTCATTACTGCGCATCAGTCACTCAAAAGCCTTTGTCCACACTTTTCTGTGCACGTGTTACCTCCATTGCCAGTTTCATTTACTTGGACGTTTTGCCAACTTTACTTAAATAACTTCACCCAGACTCTATCGGCCAACAACAGCCGTGGTATTTTTCACCACGTTTAAATACACGCACTATCTTAGGGTTTGTAATAAGTAGCTATGTAGAGTAGAGTAATCAGGCCGAATTCAAGTAGCGGCTCTAAAGAGGTTCAAGTCCTCTTGCTGTACCTTCAACAAAGCTGTGAGGTAATCCCTATGGTAATGTTATCATAAGATTAAATATTTAGAGGATCATAAACTCATTTTTGTTGTAGGAAGATTTTGACTATTCTATTTGCATTTTCCTCAGGTTAGTCAGGCTTTATCAATGTTAATACTTGTTGGTATCATTCAGTGATAATCACTCCCAAAACATCGAACTGTAACGAACTACTTGCGAATACAATTCAAGCGACTTGCTTAAATATACTTCACGTAACTGCGTCCGCTCAAAAATCAATCTCAATCGGTCCTAGATAAACTGATGACTTGTTCCCTGTACAACAACGCCACTACCGTATTAATAAATCAATCGAACTACACGTTATCTGTTTTCTCCTCTCTTACCTAATCGAATCATATTACTGTAGGTCGCTTGGCCCCGTTATGGTTCACAAACACCACCGGGGCCCAACATGACCAAGATTGTTGACAAATATGTCTGATTCACAAATGTGTGAAATTTTTGGGGTTAAAACGGTGATTACACTTCTAAGATGTTCAGTCCACTGTGTTTGTTATTAAAAAAGTTGGTGACATCTTCAAATTTAACTCATTCGCGTACTCGCACACTGGAAGCGATGATCTCATTAATGTCAAACGTTATACAAATTAACACTATGACAATCTAAATTAGAAATCGTAGACTGGATTACCACCAAAAAAGGTATCCGTAATAGACCACAAGATATTAAAGACCACAAATAAAATATTTACGCACTAGTCACAATCAGAACTGTATAGATGATAAACATTTATAGAACCACAGGAAAAAGTTCTTATCATAATGTTCGTAACTACAAATAAAGTAAGAATTCACCCCATTTATTAAGTGATGTCATGCCATGTAGCTAAATTAAAATAAGCACTAGCGTAAAGTTTAGCTCACTTTAATATGCAAAAATTGGTTACTTTATAATTTTGCTTACTAAGACGGCTTCTAAGTATTCAGAACAGTGGCACAGAGTTGATAAGAATTGTAGAAATATTAAATATGGTTTGAGTGCAGTAAAAACGACAGCGGGTCTTCCGGTTTTCTTTTATTTTCGGGATAATGGTAAAAGAATAGCTTCACTATTAATTTTTAATGTTCGAATTTTTTTTTGCGAGAAGTTAAGCAAGTGCAATTAAAATCGCTATTGAAGGTTTATGGATTCATTTAAAGTCTTCTTAAGGACCTAAGGCGTAGCGGACTTTTGATATTTGTAAAAGCCATATGCTGATGAATTTATCATAAAACCCATGTTATCTGTGTGATTCCTTATAAAATGCTTCACCACATTGGCACTTACAACAGATTCAATTAGGTCATGCTATTTGAGTACTTTGAAATTGCATTCCTTGCTTTTATCCGTTATCGATGTTTCTGTTTGGTGTTCCGTTCTAGGTCGTGGCTTACTTATCGACTGTCGAGCCTAATTTTAATTTATTACTACCTGTCGTTCCGTTAGGCTTCCTTAAATTTTCTTATAGGTTCATGTTTTTTTGGCCATTACCAACTGATCTTGGGCTGCATGTCGAGCACCATTTCAAATTAGTAATTTCAAATTAGTAAGAGGGAACAGAACTGATATTTCTGGTTTGCGTGTCCTGATATTGACCTGGAGGCCCACATTTACTCTTCCATGTTATGCTTATTTATGCTTATTGAATCCGGCGTACTAACCAACGGGCTGTTGTAAAACCCACCGGACGCAAACTTTTATTTTGAGCAATGCTCTGGCGACATAATTTGCCTTCGGGCTCATGCAGGAAATTACCCATAGATGTACACGGACTACAGAAAGTTTCGCCATTCCTAACCAACTTTGTGATTGCCACTTACATGTCTTTTGTTAATCATTCACATATAATAACTTTATCTTTTTCACACAAAACTGTGGTTAATAACTTCTGTAGGCAGTTCTGGACTATTATTTCCAGTCGGACTCTGCGCAATGCGTTAGTTTAATTAAAGCCATTTATAATTTTCACTACTGACAACTTTGAATTGTTTTCCAGAAAACTTTCATGTATAACTATAAACTGACAGGCTTTTACAATGCTCTGTTTGAGCATATTTTTAGATCCTGTCTCTGTTGCTTTTTTAGTTCAAACTCTCCTCCTCCCGGGAGAGAGCAGTAAAGAGATTCCAGAGTGTAACTCACTCCAACGAAAAGACAGCAATTCACTGTCTTCAACTAAATAATTGGAAACTTGATGCATCCATCGAGTACTACTATCGTGATGGGGCCAATGCGGCTGCTATGAGCTCCGTTAATGAATCGAAAATTGAGCAGCTCTATCAACGATACTGTGGTACAAATTACGAATATTTCTTCCTTTCTTCATCACTCGATTCTCTTCAATGTTTTATTTTACCTACTTTTATAAATTGATCTGTCAGTAGTTATTCTATGCTGGTTTCAATCTATGAACGATTTGTGCTTCTGATTTTGCACCCACCAGGTATTTGATTGTGCATCTATACTGCCTACATTTATGCATTAGTTGCAGGTCTCAAATGTCCAACATTTGACCTATTTATCATCACATAGCCCTTCGTATGATAACCCATTAACCTGTGTGGATTGATTCAGGTCGTTTCCTTTCAAACCGAAGTGCATTTAGAAACTCATTCAGTTTGGTCTCTATGCGGGGAGAATTAGACATGTTAAACATAAAGTTATTTAAAGCCTCCACAGTTGTTAAGTCGTGGTTTCGGTTAATTTTAGTGGTGTTTACTGTGACGAAAGTTGACTAAGTAATGCACTTTTCATCTATCATCTGCTCTTTGCAGAAGTGAATTATTTTCTTGGTAAATCGTTTACATTAAGTCTAAGTGTTCCCCACCGTACTTTCCGCATCTCTGCTGCGATAAGTACCTTACTACACCAAGACGGTATCTAGAATTGTCCCTAAGCTCGGAACAAATCAAACAATAATCTGTGTTCTGATTTGTGAGAAGCCACGAGCGTACTGTTTTATCCACCAAGTCTAGGGGTGCTTTGTCAATGTAGGTAAATGTTTTCGCGTTTGTTGGGACGGAAAAAATATCCATTAAATCTTTATGTCTTTTAGATCCCCAATATCCAGATCGTATCTTAGCCACTGGCATGGAACGTTTTCTGGTGACGGATCTTCACCTCGATCCAGCCAGTCGCGTTGTTCTCATTTTGGCCTGGAAGTTTTGTGCCCGCACTCAGGGCGAATTCACAAAACAGGAGTTTTTTAACGGACTGCGCGAGCTTGGGTGGGCTTGGTTCCCCGTCATGTTATTATTTGTTGTTCACGCTACTCGTACACTTCAGTATTTGATCAAGTGTATGTCTTCTGATTGTAGATGTGACTCGCTTGAATCCCTCCGCACTCGTGTGGCCACGTTAGAATCTGAAATTGAGAATCCGACTGCATTTCGGAGTTTATACAATTTTACTTTCGGTTTTGCCAACGTGGATAGGCACGAGAGCAAAACCCTCGGTAAGCCATTGAACAGCTCTCTCGAGAAATACCAATCCACAACACGACTTGCGACTCGCCAGATTGAGTGACTAATACTTAATGTTCGCAGCCTTTAATTTACACAACGCTAATAGACAGCCGAACTCTGTGTACTAACAATGAAATTCGATGTGATTGTCCCTTGACCATTATATCAGGGTGTGCGTGTGTGTATATGAAAACACTTTTTTCCTCTCTGATGTTCGAAATTCTTCCAGTTTTAGACTATGCTATCCCCTATTTCGACCTACTGCTTCGTGGGAAGTACCCATATCTTGATCTTTGGTTCGAATTTCTGCGAGTGAGTTTCTTTCAATTTGTTTGCTATTAGTATATGAAAGAAATGCATTAGTACAGTTTCTCTTCCTTTAGGAAAAACACAAAGCTTCAATCTCCAAGGATACATGGGATTTGATGCTAGATTTTGTGGAGACAATAGCTTTAGATTTTTCAAATTATGACCTCGAAGGCAAGTTGACTCAACGTCGAGCGATACCTTGTTCACCTTCCCTTCCTCACAAAACTTAAACCGGTGTAGAGAACGGAATTTGTTTGGTGCGGTTGAATTTGACTACCTCAAAATAACTCATGATGCGAATTTTTAACATGCTGCCTTTAAATATCTCTCTCTCCTTACCGAATCGTCTCTGCGTACTTGGACAAAGCACTGTCACACGACTCTCAAAAATTGAACCTATGAAGTGAATTATTTGTTCTTTAGGTGCCTGGCCCGTTCTTATTGACGAGTTTGTTGAATGGGCTCGCCCAATCGTTTGTGGCGATGAGACAAAGAACAGAGAGCAGCAGCAACGTTGACAGCTATTTCAATCGACTGGCACTATTTCGCATTACTCCAGCTGCTTCTACCACCAATTGACTTTCAGCCTGGTCTTCAGCTCCCATCGTGCCACTGTACATGTATTCACCTCTTTCTCGCCTGTCCTCTCTAATCCCGTCTAATAAACATGTGCTTGTTTGTTTGAAATTCTAGTCTTATGTGAGCTGCTTCAAAGTTTTTCAATCTGCCGTTTATGTGCAGGCTGCTACTTTGGGGGAGGCTGTTTTATTGCCTTCCCAACGGAAATAATCTCTGCGGTGTGTGCAAAAGTGAGGCCACGGGTAGGAGGCCGCATTTCCTCCTAAAATGCCCTTGTTCTACTCATCGCTTGCACTAAAATCGGTAAAACGACTACTGGGACGGAGTGAACGTAGAATAAGGATGTAGTTCTGCGATAATGCTTCACGCAAGAACTAGACTACAAAACAAATCATCCAGTGGCATTGCATAAGGGGAATGAAAGTGAAGGTCACAAATCGATGTAGTGTGAAGGTTGTTTGGAGAAATCAAAATTTCCTACAAACCAGGCGGGAAATGCTGCATAATATCATTGTTGATTTTCTCATCAAGTAAAAAACAAATAGACCAATGGATCCAGAGGGGCTTAAACAGGTTAAATAAATTTTGACACTTTAAATATTACTAGAATTCAAATCTTAGTAACTACCTGGTCAAAACATATATATTAGCGAATTGGTAAAAGAATCTCATATGTACATGAGTCCTGCAATTTGTATCATTTTTAAATCTTAGCTTGAAAAACTAAGAAACCAAAATTTTGCACATTTCCTTCAAAATTTGCATACAGTAGCCTTGTGATTAATAAAACCACGAAAATGACTAGCTAGAGGATGAGTGATGGACATCTGAATAAACTGTTTTAATCTGCGTGTATTTGCCAAAAATACTCAAAATTGTATGTTTGACATTTATAATTTTAATATCCAGCTAGTTATGTCTGCTTTATCATTTGCTTTGATAAGTCTGAAAATGGTAATTGAACTTTTCATTACCATCAGGTGTCGAGGGTTAGTTGGGCGCGTAACAGTCAAAATTATCACTATGTTTATGCGATTTTGATATGTTATGGATGTAGATAGAAATCAAAAAATTCATGGATGGGAAAATATTGCACACGTATTCCAGAAAATTTCACAAAACAGCGAAAACCAAGAATGCCTGATAAAAAAGCATTTATTGGTATTGATGTTGACACTAAACTTTTATCCTGAAAATCATGCAAAACTTTCTGATGAATTGTAATTGAATGGGATAAGACGAAACTAGGGAAAATAAAAATTAATTGCTATTATGATCAAGATTATGATTATGATTATATAACGTTTTTACTCTTTGCTAAAATATTAATCCGAACACTTATTTTTTTCGAAATCTTTGTCATTTCCTTTATCGGGGTTACCATAATCTCAAAAATACTAAAATACCTTTGAAGATGAAATTTTTGCAGAACACGTAGAAACTGGACACCCAACTAAATAGTGCAAAAAAACGCTTTTCAAATCCACTATGGAGTGCCACTAAATGTCTCGATTTCTGGTTTAGAATGTGTGGAATATACTCGAGCAGTAAAGCATGCCAGTAGAGACAAGATTTAAAAGGCATTTTCATCAAAATATACATTCAGAGCAAGTAAAAAAACAGCTGTTTATAAGAACTAAGAAGGTCATAAACTTCCATTAAAAATTTGTCGAGTAACAGGAAAAAATATCTCGGATTCCTAAATTGCAATTTTTAATATTATTAATTGCTAGTTTAAGTCGATTTCATTAAATGGAGCGCTTTGTGGCGTGCTTGGTGGCCTCCGCCATTATCTGTTGCCTTCTGACTTTTCGGGATATGTCTGTAACAGAAAAAGACGTTGAACCAAGGAAAGTATTCCCGGAGCTCAGGGATGCGCAGCCGGTCGTACCAACCCTGCGATTTGCTTATTGGTTTGTTGTTGTATTTTTTTATTTCCACCGTAGTGTTTCATGAGGCTACCAGCGGGCCTATGAGGAGATGGCCCGAATCGTCGTTCAGCGATATCCCACTTTGCAAATCGAAGGAACGACATATCCTCCTCCTCAATGGCGTTTAATCCTAGCCAAAATAGTCACCATGCTAAAGTATTTACTGTTAGTAGTAGTTATTACTGGCACTAATCCCTTCCCATATCTTGGCGTCGAAACCCCAGGCTTCATAACGTACGCAAATGAAAACAAAGTGAGTTTTTGCCTTTTATTTGGTTTCATTTCGATTTATTGGTTTCCTAGTAGTTGTTTCGGGTCGTCTTCGTTCAGCTTTATTACCTTTTATAGCTTCATTTCTAAGTTTTCAACTATCATTTAAAAGCCGTAACGAAACACCGCGCAATGAGAACAATCCGTCAGTTTAAACCATCTTTTTGCTTTTAGGTTTCCTTTTGTCTTATGTGCTTTTTTATCGGTGGCCTTATCGAAAGCCAGTTACTCTCGACGGGCGCTTTTGAAATTACGTTGAACGGTATGCTTCTTTGTTTTGAATATTTTTTCACGTCTCACGTAAAAATTTTCAATGAAATTTAGTAGCTCTCCTAATATTCGAATACTCATGCTAACTGTAAACCAATATTGTGACTACCGCCTCAGTCAAATAACGACGTTTCATTAGCTCAAGACGCAGAACTGTGTGTAAGTGTTAAAAACCGAGGATCAGTGAGTCACGCTAACCAAGAAACATGTGTAGTTTCGCTCATCGCCGGTCATCATGTAGTAGTCAATACTATGTTGTTTTTGCGGTGATACTTTTACATCAGTAAGCTGGAGCGCAACCTCAGTTGACAAATGAACTCAGTAAAACTGGCTATCAGTGCAGTTAAAATTAGTCTTTCGAGTTTATTATTACTTGTAGCCACCTAATTACCTTTAAACTCAAACCGCTTTACTGTGCATTGCCGGATCGGGTTTTCCCTAAATCTACAATATTTTCCAAAACACACTGGATGGTTATTGAATACATACCCATTTCTTCTATTATTCGATGCATACCTTTTACTTGATATCCGAATTTTATCCTGACGTCTCTTGAGTAAAAAATCTACATGTTGTTTCGCTACATTTTTTGGAACCTGAAATGTCTTGTTAAAAGAAAACAAGTGTCAGAACTCAGCACGAAGACTTTGAGAGGTGGCGTCTATCCGCAGAACTCTTAGTCCGGCTTTTAAATGTTCTGCTTGGTAGCGGCGAAGTCGTAGGTTGATGTATGATAAATCCTCAGTGGAATCGCTGCTTTTTTAGCGTCACATTGCTCTGCCCAGAAATGATAAATCTTATTTTGCGTTATACAACCTTTTCAAGCTATTAAGCTTTATCAACTCTTTAGCCGTTGTCGACTCAAAAACAACTTATTTTATAGATATCCCCATCTGGTCCAAGCTGCAATCTAATCGAGTGCCTCAACCGCAGGAACTCTTGTCGATTATCGGCTCCCACATGCAGTTCCCCGCACCCGGGACTGCTGCCGCCGCCGCTCCCTCATCGATGTCTTTCAGCAATAACCCTACGCCAAGATCCTAATCTACCAATTTCCACCTCGCCTGTGTCCATGTCCGAGTAGTCATGTTGACAAGTTAGCAAGTTACGACAGCCCAATGACGCCTGCAGAGTAAAACCATTATTTGTCTAAGGGAGCTCTGTTACGGCTGATGATTCCGCTGTTGCCACTTCGCTCTCTGTCTTTCAGATCACTCGATATGGAAACCCCCTCATTGTTGTTTTTTTTCCATTGACTACTTCTCATAAAGGCTGTTGTGCTATAATATTGGTGCAGACTACTCTAAACATCTTTGATAGCTGCAAGCGGGAAGTTGTCATCAGCGAGATATCAACAGCCCTAGGGCTTATCAAGTATTGTAGGAAAAGTCAATGGAAGCACACATTGTCGTCTATGAAGCCACATATGTTTCGTGTAGGGCACACAGGTTAGTTATGACCATGAAGTATATCAGATAAGCAACTGTGATCAAGGGCTGCGCAATCTCGGGTATTCGCTCCAACAATGGTTTTAAAAAAAACGGGTTCCTTAAGCGAAGTGTCCATGTGAGTGGTAATTGTGGTAGCAGGGGCACCTAGCCTCATATAACGCAACCGAGTTGAGTCTGAGCTACGAATGGTGTCTCAAGGCGAGTGTCAGCCTCGAATCATATCGTTGGGGCTCGCATCTAGACCACTTTCTGAGGGGCTTGATATGGTAGCCGCAGAGAGGTTAACAAGCGCTCAGTTAATTCCACGGACTGTAGGGGAGTGCATTTAGTCTGCTAGAAAGACTTAATTATCTGGATTGCGGTTGAGTGCATCGTTAAGCCAACTGCGATCTCCAAGCCCTTGTTGTCCACTGGCTCGCACGTTCTGAGGTGGGTCAGAAGCAAACGCATGCCACATATGAACGTCGAGAGTATAATCAGGGTTGACGTCTTCCGGCGGGCGAGAAGTCGATTTCGTTGCGATTTGTGTCGGTCCTGACGTGCATCGACCATCAGTGAAATCACGGTAAGTGATGGTACGAGAGACGAACCGGGAACCGAGTTTTCGCAATGGCTGTCCACAGGCGTGTGAGAAGAGACGTGGATTCATAACACCTAAATCATTTTCGAATGCGATTAGAAGTGGATTCTTGGGTGGCTAAAAGCAATGGGGTCCCACAACTCAGAAACACTGTGCATGACCACGTAAGTCGGAAACGAAAGCCGCAAAACAATGAAACACGTAGAAGTCATGTTTACAATTTTTAGAAAATATGGGAAGTTAGATCCAGTAAGCTGAAATAGTTCAAGCAGAAAGACTATCTTTGGCTAGCAACTTCAAAACACCACACAAGACCTCCTTCATGGTGTTCACCTGCTCCCCCAGTGTCGAGCGCCCTAGGAGTGCCACTTCCAGCCAACAATCACCGGCAGCAACCATGGAGTGCAAAACGTGCTTAAGAAACGCGGAGTAACGTGGATTTGCTGCAACCCTCAGAACAGCCTCCAGCATCGAGGTAGTAAAGGCAGCCGACTTCCACATTGCTTGGCTCGACAGGAAACGACGACAGGCGATGGGATCTAGTTTGACCTCGTCATCCATAGATGACCATAAAATAGGGCTTTGCAGGAGCAGGGCGCTCTGTAACGTTCCCAATAATCGAAGGTCATCTGTAGCAAATTTTTTAACTGCTGCAATGTAGTTGGGAGACGGGTTCCGTGCAAGATGGATACGCGAAATTAATTGGTGGGAAAATGTGGGTAGGAGGGGATGCTGGCTAAAGTACTTCAACCAATCCAACCAGAGATTGGTTTCTTGTTCATTCACAGCGTTGCGGTCCAAGTCTAGAAAGTAAACCAAAGACACGTCGTACGACTTTGTTGGCCGCAAGTACTCTCAACTACGCAGGTACGATTCTCAGCTCACACACATCAATGTTAATTTATGATGCACAAACACTTGTCATAAACAAATGACGCAGAACTAGAAATCACGTTGACAAATCTCGAAAAAATATGCAAAACTAGATCCCACGACCAAAAAAAGAGTATCGCCTGGAAATTGAATAAACGGATAAGACCCCATTTTATAGTTTGAATTATACGACCTTTCATGGCACTTTCTAGGAAATAACATAGAAATCTGTGTGAGTGCGTAGACGCTGAGATACACTGCAACCATGTTCAACTCTGATTTGTTTTTTGAGCACCGAGCCATGTCAAAAATACCAAAATATAAATGGTCGAAACTAGCATCCTGGTACTAAGAGTGCTCAACAAAAAAAGCTTGTGCTTCTTGGTAACCGAGCCGCGAAAAAAACACACTGGACGATTTACGGCAAAACATGAAATCAAATGATGAGGAGAGGGTAGAACGGATGAAATTAAAAAGGCATTGTTTAGTAGAAATACTGCCGGAATTTTGCTGGTGTGCAGTTACCATACTACGTTTAGCTGGCAAAAATGATCGTGGATGTAAATAAAACTTACCCCCGCGTGTGTCAACCACAAGACTTGCAAGTTCAACCGCCACACCAACTGCCTGAATCACGCCTGCATTGCTGGGCCCATCGTCACCAAGCAATGATTCGACAACCTTTACTGAATCATCGCGCCCTTCAATATGACCGGTCAATTTTGAAATCGCATTTTCGAGTGATTCGGGAGGGAGACCGTAGCACGTTAGAACGTGATCAAGCGCGTTTTGTGCCACAAGTAGGTGCTTTTCAGTCGGTGCTGCGCCGAGAAGGGCAACCCCAAACACCTGACGAGGAGTGGGATAGGAGAGAAGCAGAGAAACCATCAGCTGTTGCCGATCAATTGGTTTTTGTTTGATGAATTCAGTTATCGCATGGTCGCAGGCATGAAGGTCAGATACTGATGAGGGGTCTAGATAGACCCAGTCTAGATCGTTGGTGGTGAGGAACTCGTTAAGACATTCACACGAGGCGTCTGTCAGTACCTAGGCAAAATAAAATAAGCTGTGAGACACTTAGTGGAAGGAAGACCAGCATCAAATGAACCAAATACTAAGTGTATTTTAGCACTAGATTCCCACGAGAACAGTGCAGTGGTGTGCGAGACAGTCACGTTGCAGCAAAGGTCACTTTGGGGATCCGCACTTGGGCAGATGACCACACACTAGTGCAAAACCATGCATGGATTTGTCGGAAAACAGAACATCGCGGCCATCTACCCTAATGATCGAGATTCAAATAGCGTTTGATTAGTTCTCAGATTGGGTGGTCAGAGAAGTAGGGATGAAACGCCAGTGGTTGAAACGGTTCCTAAAATCTGAAGTTATACGGACATGAATTAACCGATGAAGCAAACACAAAAGCGATTTCGATTTAACTATCTAAATTGTAGGAGACAAATTTCATTAGCCACTTCGGCTTTCGGATGAATTGTTTATGAGCAGAATCCAAAGCTTGAACCACCTTGGCCAGATTTTCATCTTTAAGCTCATTTCGTACTGCAAACGGTAGTAGGTAATTACACTCAACCTCGACTTCACGTAAGAGGGTTAAGTTAAACCGAGAGCTAAACACAGCAGGGTAAGCACAGGCACTGCCATCGTGGGTTGCGGCAAGACCGGATGACGATACCAAACGCAGCATGGGTTTAATTTTTGCTGAAAAAAAGGATTCAGGTGTGCTACAACAAACACGTGCTTTCCATTAGAGTATGTGTAAAAAAGGTTGCGCTCCGACTCTCTGAATACAAAGAACATCTCGGGAACAGCGCTTCACATCAACGCACCGAGAGACGCTTTCGTCTTCACTCAGGAGTGTGGGTAGGATCACGGTTAACACTTCACCCTATCAGGTTATAACAAGGAGTCTGAAGTCAAATGAGGGAGCAAAGTACTTATGCACAAACGCGGTTGTGCAGATCTGCCGAAACGAAGCACCCGCGATTCGAGCCGGTGCCAGACACGAATCCTCAATCCCTTATCAATGACCCCTCTGAGGGTGAGAATCTTGGACGAACGAGGAATAAGACCACAAAATAATGCTAATTTTGAGCAAAAGCCCACCGATCCACCACAAAGTACCTCTACGAAATCCAAGTAAAGCAGACTGGCTATTTGCTCGATCTCGTGGATAAACATGGACAGGAGTTGGCTGAACTTCAGGCTGGTGTCATTTGTTGGAATGATTATCTCGCGGGCCGCTTGCACGAGTAGGCGCTGAGCTCCAGTCGTATCCTCAAAATGATGCAACAGAAGGCTTCGTTGCAGGGAAGGACTCAAGTGGGTGGGGAATTCGCGGACCCACGCTGCACGTCGATGGAGGTCATCTTGGAGTCGTTTCAACTTCCCCAAGGACCTTTTGTCCTGGGCTCTGTGGGAAAAAGGAAAACCGGATATCAAAAACGTGCAAGATATTTCACTGTTAGGTAATTTATGGACCAAATTTTATTTAACTAAGAGTGCATAAAATTTGGATAAATTTATGAATGAACAGCAAAAAGTTCAACGCAGTTCTACGAAATCGACTCCGAGCCTTTGGCTATCTTGTCACTTTTAACTCCAAAGGAGTATCGAATTTGGGAAGGAATTTCTAAACCAAGGAATACGCAGATTTGAGATCAATACCTGTAATAGGTTAGTTTAATGCATCCAAATAAACAAAATGGAGATGAAACCACTGAAATGGCTTTACATTGATTAGCACAACTGAATTGCACATTACACTATGAAGTTTACAATTTGGATTCACTTCATTGAAATGTACGTAAAGAGACATTAAGTCTGCAACGCAATTCAATGTTGTACTAGTCTGTAAATTAAGCCATTAATACAAACTAAATCTAAAAAGTGCCGAGTGCGTTCAAAGCCTTTAAGAAATTACCATGAAAATTGGTTACGGACCAAGTCATCGGTTTTCGCTCGGGACGAATAACCACCTTGTCTACCGCTGCCCAATAAAACGTCGCGTTGACTTGATGAGGCATTCAGAGTTGATTTTGGCCTACAAAGTCTCACCTGTCCGTGGGGCCACTTTACGTCGCTTTTTGAGGGCGATTTGGGCATATTCAATTCCACCAAGAATACCACACGCAATTTAAAACGTGTGTTAGTGCGGTGGAATACGCGCACAATAAAGCGTGACTATTATGGGATTTTAAAGTAATTATGTTTTTTTTTTTATAAAAAAGAACTTTTTCACATTGAGGCGACCGCTGTTAATGGGTCGGTAATGGTAAAAAAATGGGTTTAATTCATAGTCAACTATTTCTCAATGAGGGCTAATCTATGACGCATGAATGGATAGCAAAATTAGTAAGGTTTTTAAAGCCACCCTACTGTTCAAAATTAAATTTCGTGCAGAAATCCTACACGGGTGTGAAAGTTACTTGAATGAGGCAAGCGCAAAAACGAGAGCAGAAGATTTAGTTATTTTGATTAAACAAAGGACGAGGAAAGTTTTCACTAATACATCATTAAACTTTAACTGAAGCAGATTATTTCAACTCAAGGTGGAGTCACAAGTCATTAGAGCCAACTACACACAAGTTAACAATTCCAAACCTGTTTTGAGATAGGAAAGGCTCAAACGACGCAATTCAAATAACCTTATGGTGTGTTTTTCAATGGTGTGGATGCATCATGATGGGACACAAACCAGAAAGAACAGATGCTGGCAACTTGCCTATTACTAGCTACGTCGACGGCAGCGTCGACCAACTGTAATCGGCCGTTCAGATCGATTCTTGCTACCAGAGCGTCGTTTCCGAAAAGATGCGAGGCAATCCAAGTAGCAAGCACGTCGGCGTCGCCAGAGGGCGCTACCATTGCCTCCAAACAGTCAATACAACTTTCAACGGGAGAATCGGTTTCGGAGAGAAGACCAGTTGCGTAAGTCGAGTAAACCTGGGCATCAGTCACTCCCAGAGAAGAATCGCAGTGGTGCATCAACGAGACCAAGGCTTCGACGTTAGACTTGGAAGTTAAATGCTGGCGAACGCAAGCGAGGAAGTTTTCACCTTTCTCAGTATAAAGGCCACGAATGAAAGCGAGGTAGACGGCAGTTTCCAGGTGGGACACGAGTCGAAGGAATTCAATATGCTTAGTGATTGACACACCACGAATTGATAGTGCCTCTGCACTTCTTCCTTGAACAATATGAAAAACCTTGAGAAGTAACAACAGCCGCCACAGGGGTATCTTTTCAATATTTGGGTCAATCAATTCGGCTACATAGGCGACCAGTTCATCCTCTGAAACATCACGTTTGAGGTAAGGAGAAAGCTCCTTTAAGCGCTGCTTTGTAGTCTCTGTTTCAACTTCAGCGCCGCAAAAAACAATATCAGACAGGTTCGATAGAACCAATTGAGACCTGGATTCGGCCATATGCTTTGCGAGAAGCAGAGAAATTTCAGGCCGAGTTTGGGAAATCGTTAAGAGAGCTTTTTGTCGATAAGCAGCATCAGAGAAGAATTTCTGCGGATCATTTACTAGCCTTGTGACAATCGCTCTCGAACGCCACTCCGCAACACACGGGTGCTTTTCTGATAAACGATCGAGGGAGTCAATTAGGGTATCTGACGAAGGAAATGGCTTCTTTGGCATTGGACTGACCGAAACACTGGCAGCCAGCAATCGATACTCTTCCACCCAACCACCTAAGTTGTTTTGTATAAGCTCGGAGAGGCGAGTACAGAGGAGTTTTGTCCAGTTGCGTGGCCGGTGGCCCAAAGGGGGCCCATAGGCATAAGACAACCCGACGTCGAGACTTTCAGCAGTAATACAATCCCTCAGCCAGGCCTCTTGAATGTCAATTTTATCAAATGCTAGGTCGTTCGAACGGCCCTTCAGAAATGCTGCCATTAGCTCCGAAACCGAAGAACATGAGTAAAAGGGTAATTCTGTGGGATCCAGCGGAGAAACGTAGAAAACACAAGGGGAAATCGGTGTGCTTTGTTTTATTATTTTAGCAGGAGTAGAAGAGAATGCACCGAGAAAGCGTTGAGTCACGCTGAACCGGTTGCTGTCCTCAGGAGGGATTTTCTGGACAGCGACTACTTGGGCCAGCTGGTCACAGATTTCAGCATACTCCGAACACGTGGCCTCATACACTGAATGTGTAACCACAAAACGTGCAAGCGTCAAGCGGAATCTTTCAACAACTGAGCTATCTACTCCAGAAAATAGGGAATCAAGAACCTCCGGTGCTGCAGAACACCACATCCAAATTTCTTTCCACGCTGATGCTTCAGGAATAGTCAAAATTTCTTGCATGAACGCGAGGATTCTGTCATTCGCAGCCGCTGAGATACTCCTCATATCACTTGTGACGGCGGCTTTTAAATAACAACGTTTAACCTCTATTGCGATTAGACCGAAGTATTTGCCAGCCTGGATTAAGTCCACTGCATCCACGTAAGCAGTGGTTTGGAGTCGCTGGAGGGCCGACGTAAATAGCTTCACCTTAAACGTCCGGTCGGAATTCGCCCAGGAAGATCGAGAAGGAAATGGGCAGAAGTCACCAATGAGACGGTTGACCCCCGAAAGAAACTTCATTGCGCCGTAGAAGATGAATTCGGGTGAATCCTCCGATGGTAAGAAGGAAAGACACAGGGAACCAAGCTCTTCATTGACTTCGCCAGCACCAAAGGTTGCAGTGGCGTCAAAATAGACACCGATTGCAAAGCGAAGTGCGGAAACCCAAGTTGAGTCTTCAGACGCGTGGCGCATCAACTGGGAATGGGCGAACTCAATGAATTGACGATTTCGGGAGCAAAGAACACCCACGAGCAAGTGGTAACGCGCCTTTTCATTAGAGTCTGCGCCTAAAAGACGGGTGAGAGCGCCACAGAGTCGGTCGAAAAGACTGAAAGAAAATAATCAAAGTAATGGATTTTTTTACAAGCATTCTCAAAAACATGACACAAAGCTCGTCAATTGTTCTACCTAAAAAGTCCCTGCCAAATCCAATTTCAAACGTAGGCTTACACGTAACTTTGGTTATAGCTCAAATGTAGCATTGACAAACACTAGCTGAGGGTGATTAAGCAGTTGGTTCCTAAGGCATACATTTTAAGTGCGATGGCATTAACAGTTCAGGATACTCATTAGCTGCTAGATACTTCAATAACACGCAACACTACAGAGAATTTTTCAGGCCTAAAATAAGAACGGGCAGTTTTGAAGTGGAAATCGCCATTATATACGAAAAAGGTTAGCCCAGCGATGGTTGCTTACCTAACCAAAGCCTCATTTTCGGCTTCAGAGACTTCGGATAAAGAAGCCGTGGAGTCGGAAGATGCTGGGGTCACTGATGAATGCAAGCGATTGTAGTTGTAGAGACGCTTTACCGCATTTATGGGAACTTGCAGAGTTGCAGGGGTGATAGACCCCACTCCCCGTCCCCTATCCTGATCATGCGTTCGTTTGCCCATAACCTCTCGATGAGCATTGAGAGGCACTTGAATCCACTGGTTGACCAACTCCCTCAAGCAGGACTCATTTCCTTGTTCTAGAGCTAGTGCCTCCCCGAGGGAGGAAGGAAGGCCGTGTGGCAGTGAGAGGTAACCCATTTCGCGAACAAGAGACTGGAAATCGAGGAGGGCAGCACAACAATCCGACAGTCGACGAGCCTGCTCAGATTCCACCCCGAGACTGGTGAGAATGTTCTGCGCAAGGGTAAGATACAGCTCAGAATCCTCAAATGGCGGTGTAAATTTAGTGAGGAAGTCGACGATACATGACTTGAAGTCGATATCTATATCGTAAAGAATATGGTGCAGTAACAAACTACCAAAAGCAAACTATATTTAAAGAGTTCTGGCGTGCACAAATTAAAAGTTTAAAATATGTGACAACTTGCAGAGAAATTCGTGCAACTCATATTTTTTCATACCTCCAATGGAAGCAAGTACTGCATCCTCAGAATTGCACCAATAGCGAACGAGAATAGAAATGGCCTCTAATCCAGTATCCGCATAGCCCGCCATTCTTAAGAGACACTGACGCACCTTGACGGAGGACGCCTTTTTATTTGCACCAGCAGTAACGAATGGGAGAAGGTGCCTTATAAGCACGGAGCACATTTCTGAAGCCGTGATTTTGGAGGGTGAGGCAATGCAGACACGAATAAGAAGCTCCAAACGCTGTTGAGGACTGAGTTGGTGGAAGTCGACCAGTTTTAAACGACCCAATGTCACCAAGCAGCCATCGAGATCAATTTTACGTCGAAGAGTGCTAGAGAAGCCATAGCCGGGCGCTGAACGATAGAGAATCTAAACAGTGGTGATAATGAATAACAGTCTTACTGTGGAAAACTGTTCAAGCTCGTTTGAGTGTTTTTGAAGATGAGCCAAAGCTCGCCTCCTAAGCCGATAATCTCTTTTCCCACCAAAACCATTTTTGACTATTTCAGTAGTTATCTCCAACAAATCAGATGCATACGAGGTCAAACCAGACAGACTATCTAGTTCGCGCGCTCTAATGCACGCCCACTGAGCAAGAATAAGCTCATCGGGTGCAGTATTTGCCCATCGAAAGTCCTTGGGAAGGCGGGAGTATAAGCGCTGAACAGCATCTTCGTGTAGGACCTCAGAATGCTTGCTTAGGGATGGAACCGCGGCCGATTCTGGGCTGCAAAAGCGTATCGGTCGGAGGTATTGAGCAGGTGGCTCGGTTGCAGGAATGGTGGACAGAAGCGCAAGCAGGTGTGGACGTAAGAGAGATGCGTAGTGTGACGCTAACAAACCAAACGCTGCATAACGCCCTGTGTGCAAGTAAAACAGAGCGACATCAATGATGGCGTTCCGACGAAAGGCCTGTAATTCTAACGACCAATTTCTGACTTCATTTTCGTCACCAGATCGACTGGTGCTGTCTGCCAGGGAGAGAGCACACTCCTCAGCATAGATTGCAGTAAGTACCTCAAGATGAAATAACCTCTCCTCAAACATCACATTAACACTCCTATCGGAACACCTCGTTAAACCGGCCTTTAAAATATTTCGTGTCATTTTAAAGAGATCAACGGTCTTCCAACTAGCGTCAGTAAGAGGAATATTATGGAGGCACTCTCGAAGGAGCCAATTAATCCGCTTGGTGATGTTTAAAAGGCACACCGAGCTTATTCGCTCGAACGTTGTCGGACTGACAGGAAACTGAAAAAGAGCCAACCATTGGTGCTGCCAAACAAGTTCAGGCTCTAAATCATCATTGGTTAATGCAAGAGCCTCAGAGAAACGGCAACTTCGTAGGAGGTGGATAAAAAGCTCCTGCGGAGACGTTGCAGCTAGGCGAACGATACTTGCCAACATGAAAGTAGGAGCAACACTTTCGATTGTTTCTGTGAGCTCGGTTTGCGGTGGCAGTTTCCCAACTAATCCAAGAGCAGCTGCAAACGATCCAAGATAGCTAGAACTAGAGGAGGGCTGCTCAGCACTTGTCCGGCTTCGTTGTATTTTATCTGCTTCATGCAACTGAGTGATTGAACAATTTAAGAGAATGAGTTCTGTTTTAAGGGAGTCGCTGGGCGTCGTAACAGCAAGGGCTGCAAAGGGAGAAAATTGTATACTATGACCATCTTTATTACAGCCTTCTTTTCTTTCCACACTTAGCAATTGATTTTCCATACTTTCAATGTCAATTACCGATAGAGCACCATCGCTCTTTAGGACGGCTAGTAGATCGTCAGATGAGTCTCGTCTCCACCAAGCCAAATGTAGGGGAACCGGGAGGTTAGGAGTGAGAAGGGGTGACAGTGGTTTGCAAGTGATTGTTGCAGCATTTAAAGACACCGCGTCAGAAATTATAGTAGTCAGAAGGGAGCAACTTGGAAATGACCAAACAGATATAGAGCGGGAACAGTGAAGGGCTGAAAGGAGGTTGCCAGACGAGGAAAGACAAAGGCTGGCGAAACCATCCGACAAATTGGCATTTTGTCGATTCGAGATTGACAGCAAAATAGAACGCAACTTTGAAGCGGAGGGAGTTGACAACGTATTCCCCTTCAAATGGCTACACTCCGAAATCGTCTTTGTGTCTACTGAAATGAGTGTAAGGTGACCTGAGGGAGTACCCACATATTCGCCCCCTATCACAAGCAGGTGGGTATTTTGATCGTAAACGGAAGAGAAGATTGACGAATGGTGAGTTTTTTGAAGAACGAGACGAGCAGAAAAACCTGTGCTTTTACCACTTAAGTGCCAAAGCTCAATCTCACCAGAAAAACGACACACCAATAGATGTGAGGAGTCCTGCACAAAACTGAGGCCGACAATTGGAGCAAAATCTGATTTATTCAACAAAGGTTGCTGGATAAAGATTTGTGAATTCTTTTCTTCATTTAGATTTATTACATCAATAGCTCCGTTGCTGTAGCCAATACCAACAAAATGGTCAGGATTAACACAGAGGACACGCCACTGAGGATAGGGGTCGAGGTAAGAAAGAGGCCAGCGTTTCCAGTCTATGAAGGTTGGGCCATTTTCCGTAGGAGAAATCGCAGTAATGGGATCGAATTCAGCCGCTGTTGGATCAATGTCCGAATCTGCTATGTCAGGATTCACGAGAACTGAGCTGCTATAAGCCGTTGCAGCGGAGGGCGATACTTCAAGCCACCTAACAGACAAGATTGCAATGAGAGACTGTGAAAGACGCCCAACCGTCCATGGATATCCAGCACTCTTGTATTGGCAGTATGCAGTTAATACAGGAGATGGATAATTGAAAAAAGCTGAGAAGTTGACGAAGGCCAGGCGGAAAAACCTCATTAACATCGAAGTTTCTTCGTCAGCTCGAGTGATAACGTTGCCAGGGTAGCTACTACATATCTTGTATGCCAGTTGAATTGGATTGTAGGAAATAACAGCATCAGGAAACTCGGCTTGAAGTGTCACTAGATCCTCTCTAAGGTAGAGATTTGGGGATATATATGTGGATACATTCGTCGACGACGACTTTTTCCGACGACGGTGCGTTATATCCTGATCCTGAAACACGACGTGTTGACAAGAGATCTCAATGATAAGAAAAAAAATGAAAAAAACCTCATAAATACGTTCACATGGAGCACACACCAGGCATCTTGTTAGCCAAGTGCAAGTCAAAAGTCAACTGAGTTTAATGAAAAAGTCTACAAATCAAAAGCCGCTAATCGTGTACTTATTGACTTTCAAAACAAGCAAACAATGCATTTACATGTTTGTTTTAAAAAAAAGAAGCCGGATGTTGTCTTACAGATTGATCGATCCCACTTGAAGGAATCATGACCAGAACGCGTAGGCGAACCACATACACACAAAAAAGAGCGCTGGACCTTCAGTTTAATTATACCGCTCTTTTCTTGGGCAAACGGAATATTTTTAAGATGATTTCCTACCATAAAACGTCAAAAAAGAATTCGTCGGCAGTTTTGATTTTAACACTAAGTACAATTTACAGCATTTCAGGGCCTAAATTGATACCACACTAGTCGCGACTTGAATTCCTAAAGTGCCAAAATGCTGTTAATAATAGTCATATCCTGAATACGTTTACTGCGTTTTTGTATATACTAACATATTATGCATGCCACTATATAGTTAAAAACATTTTTGAAGAAATGCATTTTAGGTAAGCTGCTAGCTTCGAGGATTTTTAAAACCTCATATATGCAAATATCCTCAAGTTTAGGATTTCTTAGTCTTTCGGACATAATTAGTTCATTCCAATCAATATGTGCAAATTGGTCGTGTTAAAGCCAAAAAAATTGATTCATTGCAAACATTATACCGACCTTAAGCGCCGCATTCTATTTTCATTAATTGACTCATTAAATGTAACTCTTGACAACCTGGATACAACTATTAGTCTTTTTGACATCATGTTCAAACGTTTTTAAGCTCGTATTTCTGTAATGCAACAAAAAATTCCCTTGACCGTTTGGATTTCATTAACACTGCCAAAATTTGAGTTTGTAATTTATACCCAAATTTGATCTTTTGAGTTGACAATTTTAGGACTGGAACAAAATGGTTAAGTTGCTCATATATTTTTCACGAAAATGCACTTGGATTTAACCAAATAATCAAGTAATTGAAAATTTTTGCACATGTATGTTTGTGGTTATTTGAAATTTGGAAGAATTAGATCGAAGTACGAAAAATGCTAGATTAGATTTCAAATATTTGCTGAGCGTTGAGAATGGGTTGCAGCAATTGTCTCACTTTGAGAATACTAATATATCTTGTGAATGAACTCGTTATTAAGAAAGAAGAGCATCCCCGGAAACTCTCCATATCAGTCGGAATTAGCCTTTCAATTTGCAGAATATGTAATTATTTTGGAATAAGACCTCCAATTTTTTTTTGGAAACATTCATATACGTTAAAATCAAAAACTACTGGCTTTCACACTTTGCAAAATTTGTGAACTAATTGCAAATTGCCAAATGCATGGCTATAGCCAAAACGTCATTCTAAATATTCGCGAAAACGTATTCCATTAGGCTTATCAAAATGAAGTTAAAGTCGAGATCGTTTCAGTGCTTACTATATTTGCAGTAACAGATCTTCACGGATGTTGTTATGTTCAAAAATATTATGGATATTTACGAGATGAATGCCACTTTACCCACTAATTTTCGTCTTACTTAGATGAACATGAAATGGCAATTTGTTGTTCCGCTCACAGAACAAACAATACTTGTATTAGGCAACGGAACCCCGTCACAAATCAATCGCGTGAGATGTACCCACGTTGGTGACATGGCCTAAACATGACGACGCTTGTGGCAGTAAGAGTGGGGCTCCACGCACCTCCTCAGTTTTAAATACACAAGGTATTCTTTGATGATTTTTGTCACTGGCAGTGACCAAAATGTTGATTTTTAAGTTTGAAAACTGAAAAACAGGTCATCTCGACTTCGCTTAAACTAGGACTGCAATTGCATTGATTTGAAAAATTTTATTATCAAAAAACTTGATTGTCCACCGGTAATGGGTTTCATCAGAAAATGTCCAGTCCAGGCAACGGGAAACTGGAAGCAAATGCAGCGACTTCCTCTCTCAACTGTTTAATTTCGGCCTGCACTTCCGTGTTCTCCCTCAATGCACCCTAGGGCGAAAGATAACAGAACAAGCAACCAATAGTAATCCCAGAATGCTAAAAGACATACCACTAAGAATGGATGCAATAGGATAAGGAAGCCGGCTACAACATAGCACCATTGTTCAGTATTACATGCGCAAACAAGTAAGCGGTCAGTAGGGGAAATTAGAATCTCTACTAATCAGGATTCTTCATGGTGAAAATAAAAGAAGGCGGAGAATTTGTAATCAACTTATTGACACGAGTTAGTCCAGAAAACAGCGGAGTTTGTGATGATGATGATGATGAATGAAATTGACCTCTTTCTAGTGCCAAGTCGGCCAAGTGCGCATTTACTGGTTTTTAAGTGCTAGGAATGAGCGGATGTGAGGATACGATAGCACCAATAGATCTATGTTCGATTAGCAGCACCGAAGTTCCCCCCACACTAGATCCTTGAGCATGTCGCGCTAAAAGCAGACATTTCGTAGCAGAAATTTACTCTAAGCACGACACCTCTTGAATCGAATTAGGAGCATCATCGACAATCCCACCAGGCGGAAACTCATGGGGAAGTTCAAATAACAATCTGACAACTGCAAGACAGGGACTACTCCCTGAGCGTACTGCAATTGGAACTCCCTGTGCAGCGTCCGCTAGTATGATACCCGTTAGATACCTCATTGTGATTTATTACGTGCAAGATCTCATTTAATATGGTTATTGAATTAGCAGACTTTAGTTTTGATACATCTGCAAATGAGTGTCCTTTTGACCATTCGAAGATTGGGGGCCTAGTCGGTCTGAACATGAATCAGACGGCAAAGATGTTAACCGAATAGAGCTTCAGCTACACCTCTGAGCAAGCAAAGTAATTGCGATGGACAGGTCTCAAATTGTAGATATGAACTAACGAATAAAATAGTAATCTGAACAGTCATGTTTGTGGTGAGGGGTGGCAGCCTGAATTATTCTTGACTTTAGTTTACGCCCTAACTTCAACTGTCGCCTCACCTCGAAGTCTTTGATCGAGTTGGTGTCGAGTCCACCAGCAACTTTAAGCGCAATCTGCACTCCAGCATGAATGAACGAAGCGATACGGTCCATGTCAGTCAGGCCGAAACCGCGAGTGGTGACGGCTGGGGTACCGAGACGAATCCCACTCGGACTGGAAAATCAAGAAAAGTGTGACGGCTGACAGAATTCATAACCGTGTTAGGGGTTGCCATGGTCCATCCAAAAACTTGTAAATTCTTCTAGTTTTTACGACTTTGCACCCGTTTGATCATGTTCTGCATTTCAACGTACATGTAAAAACATGCGACGGAAGATTTTGTAGACTGAACGAAGAACGTTATGGATTTATCAGACAGAGCGCCTTTGAATTTCATGTGGAAATAAGAGTATAAGCAAGGGGAGAAGCATGAGTTTAAAAAAGTGTAGAAGCTCACCAAGTGTAAAAGATTAAGGAGAGTTGCGTAAATTTCAGATGAAAACCGAAAAGCTCTGCGTGTAAGTTATCTACAAGAGATGCAACCCAAAATGCAGACATGGAAACAAGTGTGAACACCGGGGTTGTTTTTAAGCGAACTAGCAAAATGCGAAGACTTGAACAGGACTCATTTGCTCCAAATGTCAAATGAAAACTACAACTGAGAAGTCAATGTGTTTTTGAGATGATAATAAAACGAAGGGCATCAGACCACTGGGGTGTTACATTTAGAAGTGCTTGAGGAAATTTCTTAATAAAAATCTGGAGGAGTCTGTGAAATTTGAATTTGTGAGCACTGATCCGTGTGATTAATGGCCGCAGAGATGATTTGGTACCTCGACTACACTGTACTGAAAACTTACAACCTTACAGCACAAGACGCCAACTCGACCAAACACGAACCCGACAAAGTTAGAAAACGAAGCCCTATCATGAAACAAAGACAGTCTAGACATTTGACAGTTTTCGACAAGTACCTCACGGTCTGAAAGAACGGCGGTTCGCACAATGTGGATGGGTACTAAACGGTAAGAAATCCGTCTGGTCGGATGGAAAAAAAGTAGATTCATTCAACTATAATTACTTGACAGGAGTAATAAATTGGTAAGAACTGGAGATTTTGACAACTCACAGGCGTTGTAGTAGAGGAGGTAAATAAAGTTGTTGAGGAAAACCCATACAATGATCACGAAGACCTTCATCAAAAAACTGACGCATGAATACATAAGGCGTATGTGCATTCGAGATAACTAGGGCAGATTTGTTATAAAAGAGGTTAATAGCTCACCGGAAAGCACTTACGTCCCCGGGGACTGTGTTTTTGTTTACGGTGATACCTATGCTCTCCAGCACCGTGGACACTCGAACACCATCCATTTTGAGAGGACGAAAATCAACCAAGAAGAGGTGGGTGTCGGTCCCACCAGTAGTAATCTGGAGACGCAAAAGTAGTGGACTGTTGACAGATGTCTCGGGGGATTGGAAACCCCATTAAATTATATCAACCTATATGGCCCATGAATAGAAGAAGTGGATAAATACTCTTATAGACTGAGCGGTCTGGAAACAAGTCGGAAAATGTACTGCATTAGGAGCTAAGCAAGTTGAGAACAGATTCACTAACAACTATAGATAATAAACGGTAGAACCAACCGTGTAGCCCATCTCCTGGAGCTTGGTAGCAAGGTGCTTGCTGTTGGCGACAACCTTGTGGATATATTCAGTAAATTCCGGTTGAAGGGCCTCATGCAGACCGACAGCGATTCCCGCTATATTGTTGTTGTGTGGACCACCCTGGAGCCCAGGAAAGACGGCCTCGTTGATGCGCTGTTCATATTCTGTTGACACGTAGACAGGCCCATCTCCATTCACAAACTATAAACAAACAAAACACTGAAACGTTACAATAAGGTTTCTGCACTAAAATGCGCCAATAAAACTAGTAACAGGCATACGTGAAGCAAAATATGTCGAAATGGTACGCATTTTGCTCTCCATGTTAAAACTGACACTAAGCTAACAGCCACAAACAAAGCTTATCAGAATTATTTTTTAGAGCAAGCTAAAAGTGACAGCTCTTAGATGTTTATACGAAAATAATCTGTCGCACTGACAAAAGTCCTTCAAAACGAACACCTAGTCGTGAAAATAAAGAAAAAGACTTGTGTCAATCCAGTAGATGCTTTCGCCCTGCCTTTGACATGAGTGTTCTGATGTAGCTACTGCAATCTCAGTTCAACACACGAACAACTGGTGACTTGTGTGGAAAAATTTAGAATCTTTTAAATGGCCCTGATTCATGTTTCTTTAGGTAAGTAATACAATAAGGTTTACAGATCGCTTAGTAAGCCTTATTAGCTGCTAAGATTTACGAGAAAAGGAAATTAACATGTGTCAAAGTTGTTCGCTTAGATATTACATGTTGAAATCGGCCCTAAACTCAGAGCTGCAAATACTTGGCTTCTAAATCAAGACAAAAGCGAAATTTTCATGACAGAAACCCTTCAAACAAACATAACACGGTTTGTCAAAACCGAAACTACTTACTTAGCGACTCACTGATATTGCAACAACTATTTAAAATATTTCCAACAGCATTCTAAGAGATGAGAACAAAAATATGCATATGAAAGTTTCGTGAAGCATAGAAAAGAAGGCGAAAACAAAAAAAGGAATTTAGCTCAATCGTATTCTAGAAATAAAAAGGAAAATTGGGGGTAGGTTTGCGGGCCGGTAAGGCAGATGCCACACATGGGCGAAAACTAACCAATGAAAAACATATACCCAAAAATGAGGTTACTTTAACACACACAGGAGGAGGTAAAGTTGAGAAATAAAACCACGTTATGCGGCCTGAAGTCAAAGCACTAGCAAGATGGTTAAGCTGACTAGTTCCTACAATTCATTGCTTTTGTCTTTGTACCAACATCCAGTAAGGAAATTAAAATATTTACAATACCTTCAAAATAATTCATGAACATTTGATTAGGCCAATGTGAACCAGTATCTTGTAGATGTAAGACGTCGTTAGGCAATTTTGGGAAGTGCTGCGCCCAATTTTCAAGGTTAGGAAGGCGCTGAATAAACCCATGTCATAGGCATTTATTGATAACCCTGACATTGGGCTCTGGGAAAAAAAGGTGACTTTTTTTCTCATTACTTATCAATTAAGTGATAACGCAGTACTTTTCGGAGCTTTGTGACAGACTCGTGAGGTCCACGCATTTACATACAATCAGTTACTAGACTGTGATTTGCCCTTGAAAGATGAGGCCGAAGAGGCAAATCTACATTTATAGCTTATTTTGCAGTCTGCCAAAATAGAGGAATAATATCAAGTAGAACTTACGCCAGTGGTTACAGACTTGGCACCTTTCTTAGTTGGAGCAGCTTTGCGCTTACGGAAGAAGATCATGGCGCCACGAGCAGCTCGAAGGGTTTTATGGGTGGTTGTGGTGACTATATCAGCGTATTCAAAAGGAGATGGATGTAGACCGCTTGAGATAAGGCCACTGATATGTGCCTGCAGTAAAAAATGAGTAATTTAACCAACTATTTTCTTTTAGAGGATTAGATATACTTAAAAATCTCGAATCAACCTGATTAGTTCAAACTTCCTTAAATTTAAATCGCACTTTAAAACGTTGTCCGCATTTTACCAGACAATCAGAGCTTGAGCTATATACCAAATTTTCTAGCACATGGGAAGAGCAGGGTCGTTTGCGCATGACTACATAACAATCAAACAATATAGAGGTTTTCGAAGTCAAAGACCCGAAAAAACACGAAGCATAAACCAAGCTACAAATATACAGATACATAAAGTGTACGAAGCATGAAAGATACTAAAATTATAGTTATTAGGAAGAATCGATTAGAGAAAAATGGACGACGTCAAATTAGCAAATGTTTAAAAACATGATCATCGAAACGCTATCAAAAGTTGCGAAACAGAAAGTGTTATTGCATATCAAGCAGCTAATCCGAATTTAACGGAAATCAAAGACTACATAAAAAATTCACCAGTAACATTAATTTACATGAGTTCGGGCATGAACATTGAGGTTTTCTTGAGAAAATAACAACGACAAGGCGTACTTCAATTTTCGGGGACAATTGAAGCAAAACTTGCTAGAACCAGACGTATGCTTCACTGAACTAAATAAAATTGCACGTTGGTAATTATGTGGAATTTGTTGAGTAGCACAGAAAATTACCATATCAACCATCATGATGGCTCCAACAGAGTCTGCAATCTGGCGGAATCTAGCGTAATCCATTTGACGTGGGTAGGCACTGGCTCCGACAACTATCATTTTTGGGCGGAACAATTTGGCGTTGGCCGCGAGAGTCTCGAAATCAATGAGACCAGTTGCCTTATCCACACAATAGGGCATCGATTCGAAATACAAAGAGGAAGCCGAAATCTTAAAATAAACAGACCAGGATATATTTCAATGATTTAGCAACAACTTTTGAAAACTCAAATCCTAATTCGCCCATAAGGAACGTGCAAATAAAACAGATATTTAATACGGTTGAGCACAACATTTAGTAACCTTTTTCCCACTTGGTGCGTAGAAGCCATGGGTGAGATGGCCGCCGTCAGGAAGGTTGAGACCCATAATACGACCATGTGGGCCAACCAAGCCTGTATAAACAGCCATATTTGCTGGAGAGCCACTGTATGGCTGAACATTAACACCCCAGTCCTCGGGCGAGAGTTTAAATAATTTCAACGCTCGTTCAATGCAGAGAGATTCCATTGCATCAACAACATCAACGCCGCCATAGTATCTAGGCGTTAAAAAGACATGGCATAACAAAGGGAAAAATTACCTAGCTCCAACAACTCCCTCCGAATATTTGTTGTGAAAGGCTGAGGAAAGTGCCGTCAAGACAGCCTCACTAGCAAAATTTTCAGATGCAATCAACTCTATACATGTGAGTTGACGCTGCTTTTCCTGTTGACACAGCTGAAAGATCTCCGGATCGACGGACTTTAGCATTGTCTTCTATTAACACAAGGGAAACGAAGTTGAACGTTATTCACGCGACTCACAAATGTGATGCAGTAAAACAACACTAGTTTTCTTGACTCGATTTGAAATACTGTGCATATAAATACAAAACAATGCTACATAACTTAAATGCACTCTAGAATAGCTACTAAAATTCAAACGAAAATTGAATTTGTACCTTTTAAATAAAATGAAATGAAGTTCTAATTGAAAGTACAGGTTGCAAGTAAACAAAGAGCATAATAAATTTTTGTAATTAAATCTATACTCCTTCACAAACTAATAATTAGAACCGAGTCATTTATTCAACTAATTTGTATTCGGATATTTTGGGAAATCACAGACCACTGCTCGTGAATAATTTCCACCTGCATATATATATACGTGAAACTATTTAATCAAAAGTTGTTCTTAGTGAACAATCTAGTCAAAGAACGAGGATCTGCATTTGAAGTGTTAGCATTTAGAATGATGGAATTTTGAAAAATGCCTCTTTTGGTTGATTAATTAAATCATGCAAAGTTATCTTCGTTCAATTGCCATTACGAAGCTATAATTCGATATACCCAATAGTAATACTGGACTTTAAAGTCTTGTGACTAATCTAAAATTGGCACAATCACTTAATTAGTAATGATTTCTTTTCCAAGCATCTTCTCTAACAAAATATTTGCAAATCGTCCAAATAAATTAATAACCGATGAACGATTTAATAAATGTTGTATCAGTTCAATAATATTTAGAACTTTGTTTAGCTAACGTCTTGTCTAATGATTTCCACATGACACACTTTGGTGGTAACTTCCATTATTCCCTAAATGCATTTGGTTAGAAAATTTGAAATTGTTTTGTAAACGCATGTTGAGAGGATCAAACAAAAAATTAAAGATGAGATATATTTGTGACTTAACGCTCTTTAAATCATCAGGACGTTTCAAGTGCCATTAGAGACCACTAAACTATGTGTGCAAACTTAAAACTGCGTATTTTTGAAATCATTTCCCCTACTTGACAGCTAAGCATACGGTGACTGCTGAAGGCTATTTTGCAAGTCTATGGGTCGAATGAATTTATTCGCATGCTTCAATTCAACTTGAATAGTGGTCGTCTTAGCAACAGACAAAAACCGAAAATTTCTTGCGGTCTCTCTGTGCATTTGTCTTAATGGACACCTAGTTTCAGTCGTCCACAGCGGTGTAGTAAAAAACTAACACTCATCAAAGTTTTTATATCCTTGCACAGGAATTAACATTCATTCCAGGAAAGAAAACCATGGCCCGATTTCTTATCTTTGCTGTCCTGACACAAAATCTATAACCAAAGTCACATTGTTACTTTCCGCATTTGCTGGCAACAGATCAGTGAAATTCGAAAATGCAATTTTTTGAGGTTAGGTTTTCATCAATCCTTCATAATAAGTATTTGCAATTTCCAAAGGCTGGGGCATTAACTACAGGGACTCCTTAAAATGACATTATTTTCTACCAAAGACCTCTTTTGACACCCAATCGAGTAAATGGATAGAGGTCATTGCCATGCTGTTGGTTACACTGCACCTAGTACTTCAACCTTTACTTTGGCCTGCCATACCGAGTTACCTGTGACCTGTTAGACCCACCAACATCACTCCAGAAACAGACGTGGAAGCTGACAAACCATTGACATATAATTCTGAGCGAGATGCCCGCCACTTATTATGTGGGTGCTGTCATTCACTATGGGCGAACTGCCATTACGGGCTGCTAACTAATCGGGAGGAATGTCCACGCAAGCCACGTGGTCGACGACTTGCCTAAAATTAAACCACCCTCTCAAAAGTCCTTCCTTGTGTTTGTATTGTGGTGTCTCCTTGAAGCAACCCGTAAGTAATTGCAATTTTGGCCTCTTTTCACTTGATAGATCGTTTCCACTTGCAGTTTCAATTGGTTTCAGAAAGTGTTGTGCAAACGCTTTATGCTGGAAGTGCACCTTTTGTCCGTCTGAAATGAACCTAATACTAGACCAAAGAAATGTTTGAGCCAATAATTATTGCCAAGAAAACCTTTAAATTCTAAATTCTCAAAAAAATTACGTAAAAGAACATCAAGCCTGCATAGAGACCCAAATTCAAGAAGAAGCTCTGACCGAGATCTTGGAAAAAGTAAAATGTTTATTTTCTTAGATGCCACAGCCTGAAATATTTATCACTAGTTATGAAAATAATGGCGCAAGAGGAAAAATTAGAACAAAAAGCACAAAGAAAGGAATGTCCTTCTTATAATTTAACATGGAGGAGATCCAGGGTGCCCACCAGAGTTAGGTCTTCGCCCTGCTGCGCTGGATGCGCGACTTCCGCGGTTGGATCCAACCACCTGTTGACGCTGTTCTTCCACGATCTGAACAAAGGTCTTTCCATTGGAGAGGACGAAAGGCTTTCCTTTTTCGGTCTCGTACTCATCAATAGCTGCTAAAGCTTCCTTTTCTGTTTTTTCTACTTCCTTCAGTAACCTCTTTTTTTCCTTTTCGGTTTTTAGTAGAATTCCGCCACGGTTGGAGAGGATTGCTGGGTCTTTCAGCCGCTGTTCCACCTGTTGAAGAGCTCTAAATGATAATTGGAAAGAGGCGATTGCCTCGTAGACACGACGATGCTGCCGAAAAACCACCTTAAGCTCCTCGATGCGGTGTTCAAGGTAGTCAACAAGTCCTTTGCCACCATCAACAGTTGCGGAGGCCTCAAGTTTCACTAGTTTCGACGTCTCCTGCTCCTCGAGACAGCAGGTGCGGGCGAGGTCGAGCAGTTCGCCTCTGACAACTGGAAGGTACGTTTGGATGGTTTGGAGGCGCTCTTTGCGGCAAGCATCTGCTTCCACCTACAGAATGGAAAACTTTTACAATGGCAACTTTAGATCTGCAATCACGTGACTTCTTTAGCGGTCTACTCCAGTCACCCTCCTTTCTTGTTGCTAATCCGTGTCTAAGTAGTGAAGTGACAGCTTCTATACATTCATGCGTGCGAGCCATCTGCTGACCGATCCTATTTGCTTCTACCATGCGCTGTGTTTTCTAAGTATTTAGCGGATCTCAACAAAGAAGGCTGAGTGAATCTAACATAGCTAGGTGTTTTACTTTCTTGGGAAAATCTCAAACATCGCGTGTGACACTAAAAATTGTCTTTACAGAAGTGCATTTTTCAAAGAAAAAAAGTCTGGAGTGTTCTGACTTGAGGTAAACGAAAAGTGCGTGCGTACACCTAATCACCTGATTCACTGTTTTGCCAGCGAAATTCTTTAAAGACAATTTCTTCTCTATCTGTTCTAACCGTCATTTTCTCATCCCTACGTGTTTTGTAAACCTGGCCACATAACTGCGTACTCATGACACTGGGCAATTCTACATTCATTAGTCGCTTTAAAATAATTCAATTCTTAGCATTGCAATTTAGAGCTTATTTTAAAATTTTGCACATAATAAGTAATGTGTGGTGGAATCAGTCAAAGGTGCTCTCAAGTACCTCGGCTTAAGTAAGGAGCTCGCGATGGCGTAGCACAGGAATCAAACGTAATGCTACATTAAGATATCGTTCCATGAAAACTGACAGGTTGGATTTTGTTGGATTTGGGATAGTCACGTGTGAGTCCCGTTGAAATCGAGACTAACGCCCTGTTAAATTATTGCCAATTGACAATCTACACCATGTCGAAATGCTAACGTCAATAGTCGCAGCATTCAAATGCGTGACCTCTTCATTTGCAAGTATAATTTGTCCTGTCATCAACAAGATGATGCGTTCGAATCGATTAAATGGGCCTTTGGACGGGACCGCAAGAACGACAATTGATTTGTGAATGTTTGTCTAGACGCTTTTACCCTGGCGGTGCACTTTGATAGAGGGTAATGCGCATTTGTAGCCCTCTGAAGCCGTAAGTCTCAAAGCTTATGAAATTAAACAACAATCGAGGTGATACTTTAACGGCGTTAACAAGTGGGTCCCAATTTATGCTTTAGTATTTTCTTGGTGGTTGAAGATGTCGACCAATACAAACACCCGCAGTACATTTGCAGTTATCAAATGCACTTATTGTAAACAAAACGATGTATTTCCGGGTGGTTTATAAAACCGTGGACGTTGGGCTTAACAGTATCTGAAGCAATTTTGGTGTTTGTTAATCACACGGTTTTTAGACGGTTACGACTTCCTCTTGAATGTTCAAGGGAGAAATGACGTTGCCTCAGCAACTATAAGCATTAAAAAAATATGCGCTTTCGTCTCACAAAATGTCACATTATCATATATTTTGCCCGTTAAAAAAGCGTTTTACTTACAATGTTTATGGACCAAGTAAATAAAAAAAAATTAGGTAAAACAATACTACGATTACTATGGGCAGAAATCGATTAGATGTGCGTTTACTTTGTGGCCCTCAGGAAATGCGAAATCCAAGCTTGTCAACTCTCATTGAGGTGAATGGGTTTCCACAGGACACCGCTTCCTAGCGGGACATGGCGATCTGAGTAATCAGTATTCTGCTTGTACACCGATGTCAACCACTAAATTTCAACACACTGCCTAGAAAGTTATATCACACTTTGATACAGTTCTCAGATTCGTGAATTGTTTTTATTATATAAATAGTTAAGGCTTCCAGGACACCATAATCAATTCTGCAACTTAACTTTGTGTTAGAAATCTCACCATTTTTAAGTAAACCACGTCGATTTCACGTCGATTTTGAAACCAGGATGGTTTAAAACACAAACCTGAGGTATTCAGCAACCGATGCAAACAAAGCCTTACTTCGAGTAATTCGAGGGACTGAGGAGTAAAGCCTTCGCACTTTCTAAGGAACGTCTCCTGTTCATCGGCTGGCTTGTCCAGACGGTTCCACATGCTGGCGAGGTAGGAGCGAAGTTCCTCGCAAGTTCCAACCAATCGGGCTTTCTCCTTAACCAAGCGCAGGCGCATTTCTTTCAACTCCTCGAAACGAAAATTTCGAATGTTAACCTTCCACGTGACAAGCTATTACATAGCTAGAAGACCCTCGATGCGATGATGCTCTACGACAACGCAACGGAAAGTTCTGCGTAGGTGACAGCACTAACGCAATTACTGTTCAACTGCTTTGAATCAAAACATCACCCATTTCGTAAAGATGTTTTTGAATGTAGACACGATGCTTGAACATGAAACACAGTGATACGAGGCCACGATTGGTTGCCTTAGAAATTCACCTTGCCTGAAACAAAGGCATGTGACACCATGCACGTGCGTTATGACAATCAGGTGTTAGGGTTTAGATGCAGCAACTACTGCTTGAAAAGTCCAAGTGACGTAATTCAGTGGGTCAGGCACAACGAAAGATCAACGACACCGAAGGTAGATGAATAGTTATCTTAAGGTCTTTTTAACTCCTAGTATCCTCGAAAAAAAAAATTAAGGGCTGAATTTATCAACCATTTTATACAAATTAATCTCATCACTAAAGACAACCATAATTGGCTTCCCTTCCAATGCAGTCAGAATCATAAGTGTCCAGTAGACAAACTTGCCCTTCCCAATACAACCGATTTGCCGGATGCTCGAAGTGGAGCAAATGGTTAATAACTTAAGTGTGTTGTAGTAGCTGAGCTAGGACTACCTCACAACCCTCTAGTTAACACTTCGTTACAACACGAGGAGGGGGTGAGAGGAGGCGACAAAGAACGCGACCGTTTATTGGTGTCACACCAGCCAAGTGGTTTTGTGTGCGTATGAGCACGCGTGAGTAACAGGCGAATGCTAACAGAAGCCAAAAACAAAGAGATGAGTCATTGGTACACTCGAGCCGTCATGCACGCATCACTCACGCTAGGTGGATGTCGCTCACTACGGTGTCTTCTTGGTTGTCGCTACGTCTGGATCAACACTAAGTTGTGCTTGAACATCTCTCTATTTACACAATTGGTGGGTCCGAAAAAAATACATGAGTGGCTAGACCGGTAAATTGGTCATCATTCTTGCATAAAGCGTGAAGAGTAAACAGTGACTTGCCCAGATGCTAATATATGTCAGGTAGATACTCTCAGAGAGCATCAATCTATGCTCACTTTTACACATCAGCTGAAACCAAAATGTGGAAAGTGGGTCAGAGTTCACTCATGATTTTGTAGAGGAGCCACTGTTTTATCGGAGAGACTGTAAACGACTTCTTGGTGGTTCTTAAACGATAACCTTAAATCCTACAATGCTATCGAAAATGGTTAGGATAATGAATTAAGATAGTTCTCCGGTACTTGCGTGCCAGATAAAACCAATCTGTGATTAGTAACTCGTAGACGGCTTTACCGAAATAGGCCAAAGAAATCGGTTGTTACCTCCAAGTCGGCATCATTCGGAAGAACTCCTTTCATCGTTCCGGCAATACGCTTAATCTCGTCGTCGACGTTGAACATTTCTTCGCACCCATTCATGCTACCTTCTGAATTGCCTTCTCTTGCCTCCTCATCGACCTGAAGCAGTTCCTTTTCACGAGGTGATTTCACTTCGTAGGCGATCTCAGCAGCTATCCGGCGAATATCGCTTTGCAGAGCGTTCATTTGAGAAATAAGGGGACCCAGGGTTGCATTGTTCTCCGCCAGAATGGCCTGCAGAGTGCTTATGTCTCCCTCAGAAGGGACGTCGGTGGCTAAGGAAGAAATGGTCCTTTTAGCAGCTTACAAACAGATCCACCCAAAAAGACCTATGCAAGCAGGATCTGTCCAGGTAGAAATTTAAAAGGAAAACAGTAATTTATGCCAATGAATACATAATTAACTCCAAGAAAACCCTTGCTTGTAGATTTCCAGCAGCCAACAATGTTAGTGGTACCCTAGTCTAGCTGGATGATTATGTGGAGATGGCCTGATGGACTCAAAACAATCTGTTTGACGTTGCTAATAAAATACAAATTTAAATTCGTCTTAAAGACATCGATTTAGCTGCGGTGGTTTGGATAAGTTCGAAGCCTGACACCTTTGGTACCAGGTTAAAACTCCTTTGCATCAAGTAGACGAGCTTAAATGAACATCAACTTTTGAAACTGGACACCCGTCCCGGATTCTGGCTACATGACCGTGACTAGCCCTACTCATGGACGAAAAAAAACACCCTACGGAAATGTGGAAAAACACATTGATGACATGCATCGAATGCTGACTTGGTTTGGTTTGTGGTTGACAACTTTAGTAAACCTCAGTTTTTCCAAAATGAAAGCCCCTATCAGACTGTCAAAGAAAACTCAACCCATCCCTTTAATTAAAGGTAAAACCCGACTTAAATCTAAATTGACGCTTGCGTGATGAACTAGGTGGCCAGCCAACTGCTGCGCTTAGGCGTGGACGCAGATATGCAGCCAATCAGAAATAAGCGGCATTTGTATCGATTAGCTTGCCAAGAACAGCGGTACAAGCTTAGCTCGTTCAATAATAAGGATGGCAGTCAGCGCTCTGCTCTAGAGCGCTAGCGAACTAAAGCAGGTAAACAGTGAAAAAAAACTGGCTTTAAACAAACCTTGGATATTTTGAATCGCGGCTAACTGTTGCTTGATAAATCCAGCATCGCGTCCTAGTTGTAGACTTGACTTGATAATCTCGCAGCACAATCGCCTAAGCTCCTCTTTTCGTCTTACTTTTTCCTGCTCAAGTTCTGCAACCTTATTGGTAAGGTCCTAAAACAAAATCTCGAGGTTGTCCGATTACTTGGCTCAGGCAGCAGGGGGCACCAACCATCATGTTACAATCATAACCTATTACACCAGTGGCAATGTCATAAGCATGTTTGGATAGTAAGCGGATCTTATGAGATTGTCTGGAGAAAATTATTAGTAACCCCAACCTCTCACACAAATACTCGCATCTGCATAAACAATCTTTCACAAATGGGTATGACAACAAATAAACGGCTGCCTAAGTTGTAGTTTTATGCCTCATCAATGTCGTCAGGTTTGCGAAGGCAATCTGTCAATCACAATAGGTCTAAGACTTCAGCATCTTTACGACAATCTCCAGGTCGCAATGCACAGTTCCGGGCTACTAGTGCGAACAGTTAAATGTGTGGTGTTCGTCAGCCCCGTAATTCCGGTTCGAAGTTCGGTTTCCTTTAAAGATGGTAGTTTACATCAAATTGAGAAAAAAATTAAGGAGGCTAATTGTAAGCGGTGAAGCGTAGATGATGTTAATCTTACTTTTGAACAAACCCTCTAGTATATAACAAGGCTGCTTTTGTAAAGGGATACTTGCCGACAAAAGATGAAAAAGCGCGTTATTTCAATTAAGGGTGGATCTATGCTTAGGCATTGTGGCAAGAAGTCAAAAACAGTCCACTTCCAAGGCGATTTTCCCCATGTGCCTATTCAAAACTAGCATTACCTAGACCTGAAATCATGCCTTTGTAGACCAACTGTTTAAAAATGTCCATTTGCAGAAAAAAATGAATTTAACATTGCGTAATTTATGAACCAAGTTACCATTTTATCTCGTTAACAACTCAGACGCACCTCGGCATTAGGATTCATTTGATTCATAGGAAATGATTAAAGTGATTTAATTTGAGAAATCAGAGTTCTTTAGATTTTAAAAGCCAAGTTCGTTTGTATCAAGGTAATCATCTTCATGACTTCCTTTAGAAGGCAATGTTTTTAATGAGTCACAACTCATGCAGGAAGAAGGAAAACTATCTTCTTGATCAAGTATTATGTTTAATGGTGAGCTCCCATACCTCAACGATGTAGTAATAACGGTTGTTCTGTTTTATTTTCTGAAATTTACTTGAATAAATTTGAACTTGTAACCACAATTAACCGTGGAAATTTACGTTTAAACATGGTAATCATTGAAAGCCCTATGATCGACATAATCTAATGAAATTCAGTAATTGTTTTGAGAATATAACTAAGTACTATTAACTTGAATAGTATTTCTCGAAACCTATGACTTGCGACTGCAAATTGGTTGTTTGAATTGGCTGATAATTTTTTATCGCCATAGGATTTGCACGTGCATACAGGAACCCCCGAGAATGAAAGTGGTAAAACCTTTTAGACAGTCGTAACTATTTCAAATTTGGCGGCAATATGTACGTAAACGCAAATCGCAGACTAACGAAATGGAAGAATGCCCAAATGCCATCATCATTTTAGAAGCATAACATAGTGAATTTAATGTGAGGAACCAAAAAAGTATTAGGCACGACAGGTTAATTAAATACTACTCTTTTCCGGTACAACATTGAAAGAACAATCTGGAATATCTCTTTTGCTTTAAAGTGAACAGTCAAATAATAAACACAAGAGATATGTGTAAATGAATACGATTCCTTTTTCGTGCAGTCACATTGGGGGGAGAAAATTAGGAGACATTTCAGTTTTTCCGAGGCAAGTGTTATACGGAGTAGTTTGAGACGCACTTGGGCTAGAAGGCGCCTCTATGCCAGACTGTTGATTTGGTTTAAACGAATAATCTGCTTCAACTTGTAAAGGTTTTACGCGGTCGCTTCTACCTTCAGGCAAAATAAAAAGTCTTCCAACTCAACGAAGGCCCTAATTCTGCTAAACAATGCAATTTGTTTGTTTTAACGAAGCAATTTTGAACGAACCAGGGCAGAAGCAAAGCTAGCACATAACAGCGTCGGTTGTACATTTGGCAGTCCCGTTTTTTATGTCACAAAGCGCTGTCCACTAGTGTCTTTAGGGCTTGTGATGGCCAGTTAAGACAGGCCTGTGTGTTTGGAGAAAAACAGTTTTCAACCCAACCGCCATCTGCATGTTTGTGCGCTTGAGGATAGCGTCCACTTACAACACCAAGTTTTAAGCTAAAATGACCCAAATTCTCTGTAGACAACATTGGAATCGTAAGTCACACAAACCGCGGCTCCTCAGGTCGTATAAAATGTTTTTGTCCTCTACCTGAAAATGACATTAAGAAATGTGAATTCATATCTAATGAGGCCAACTTCATGTAAACAAATGATTCACTGACCACGTCCTCAAGCCAAATCTTGTTCTTTCAAAATCCGACCCTTATGAGGAACCTACCTCTTTAATTGACCACCATCTTTAGCAAGTCGTGTAACAACGCTGATGTCTTTGGATCAGCCATTCAAGTTTTTTGGATCAAAATCTCTCCCGACTTTGGTATTAACTGGGGATGGTTTCAGTGGTCACTTCGGGCCCAGTTAAAATATTTATGAATGTGTGTTTTATATTTCTTTTTTCGATAAAATACACATCTCTACTATATTTCCATCAACTGTTTGTTTATATTAAAAAATACAATCAGGTGACTGATTTGCATTTTGCATCCTTTGGTAAGTTCGCTTGAGTGTTGCCATTTGAAAGGAAAACGTAATGTTTTAATAAACTCAACTTGAGACACAACGACAATATATCAGACCCTCTCGGGGTTAAACCTACAAAGTTTTGAATGAGTTTTGAACTATCAACTAAAAGCCATTTGGAAGGTCGTTAGTGCGAATTACGTTTACGAACCATTTGCTTACCTGTTTCCTTTTAAAGCAGATAAAGTTCTTTGAAATAAAATCTGAAGAATTTGATTCTCCAAACGGATTTTAGCTCACAAATTGCATGTAAATGGGTTATTAATCGACAATCAAGTTAAGCATAATGGGGCTAGGTGCGACCTTGCGAATAACCCAGATGAGGACGTGACCTGTAAACACGGTGACGCCTTGAGGCACCTATTCGGATCAAAAATGTTGCATGGCGTATTAAGACAGGAGACCCAACAAAAATGGGAGCAAGCGGACACAGCAATTACTGGTTTCCTGACTGGCACTGCTCAAACCATTGGGACCAAAATTTCCTAAATTTATGAGTTCGCACTCCCTGAGCTTTCACAACTAAACGGGAAAACAATAATCGTTGTGGTACAAAAGTAAAGAAACCTCAAAATATATCCAGGAGACTAATTGTAGCGAAAATATCAAGAAGCTCTTTAAACATGTTTATGGATCAAAGTGTTTCTTTGACTTAGTAAGAACACCACTGAGTTGGTTTAATCAATAATATGACTGTAATTGAATGTTAATAACAGCAGGTTTAGCTTAGCAATTAAAAAACTTTGTGAATTTAATTCTAATAACAAAATGTAACATTTAATCACCTTTTCAGTGCAAGGTCCGGCAGACTCACACGCCTTTTTTCGCAATGTAAGTAGCACAGGCTAATTCGAAAAATTGCAGGTGGCCCAAGGCTCATTTAAAAAGCTGGAATTCCTTCAGGAAATATGTGGTGTCAGTGCCAATAAACCCGGCACGTTTTTGTTTGAGAAGAGGGACAGACTTCGATAAACTAACTTGATAAATTACATCAACTGCTTAAACACCCTGAATAGTAGTGACTAGAGTATAAAATGCAAAATCACGTCGGAAGTGTGAATGTATGAGGTCACAATACTGGTTATTAAGCAGTTGTACAGCATATCCATGCAAATGACAGCAGACAACACCAAAAACTTGTATCTTACACCTATGCCATTGAAGTGACCTACTTGGAGTAGTTGGCACGAGGTCAACCCGAGAGCTGGAAAGTAGGGTGGCAGTCCAAGGGCTGCACAACACTCCGAGACCCGCTGACGTAGAGCCTCAATTTTACCGTTCATTTCCGTGACCAAGTCGTTCTCCGCTTTGATGAAGTCAACGAAAGCTGCACGACAAGACTTCACGAGCGCTGCCATTTTCCTCTCCATCTCAGCCGGACCGTAACCTGGATTGGGGATTGGTGAATCGTGGGGAGTAAATGCTAACATTAGGGTGTTTGGATTTCCAAAATGGAATAATATGAACCAGTGATCATCCGTACAATAAGTAGATGGGACGATTCCAAGAATCAGTTGAATAAGTGACACTCGTCAACAAAAACGCTCGATGACGAAAGGGGCACGATTTCTGTCTGGTGGATGAAGGATAATTGGTTTTCCTTGATTAAACAAGTTCTGCTCCCCAACGCATTTTCTCCCATGCAAACTTAATGTCAGCGTGGGTAGGCGCCTTACCCCTAATTTACCGTCTAGCATCATTTTTAATTCAAAGATCAGCTCGTGAATTTTCAGAGAAAGCATAAAAATTTTAGTCTGAACATCTACATTTCTTTTGCTGGAAGCTTGGATTTGAAGACATGGGCACACATATTGGTCCCTGCCGGGTTCTTAAAAGGTTTCTTTTTAATTAGCTTCCTCCATTTAATCTGGAGTCGAGTGACATGGCAACTGACCCTAAAAGCAGGTTACTTTTGTCTAAGATTGTTCGAGCTTTATAGCCCTTTATTTAAGTATTTGTAAACGCCATTATCTGTGGATAAAGTCGAATTCAGCAACAACGTCTACCAGTTTTCTGTCAAGTTCTGCAGCAGGTGGCTTTCGCTAGAATGTATTTGAATAACTAAACAGATTTTACAAATGTTATTTACTTTTTCCTGAAGAACTCCTTTGGTTAGTAGTTCTCTCCTCAGACCCAGGTCTAACTTTGCGTCTGTACACAGTACAAACCAAATTTGTGCCATCTAAACAATGCTCTGCGCCTCGCTGCGCCTACTGCCGTAGTGAAAATTTATAGCACTATTATGTTTTAAATCACAACGCTTGGTTTAGTCATGGCTGTTTCAGTTTTGCTCGAAAGGCGACACAATATCCTCTCCACTAACGATTTCTTGCAGTGTCATTGCAAAGGCGTTTATTGGTTCATAAATGGCGCGTTTTTATCTAGCTATTTGACTCCATTTCTCCCAAACATTTTAAATTAGGCGAACTTAAGCCCTTCAGAGTTAAATTTTCGATTTAAAAATCTCACATTAAATAACGTAGTACTCCATTTTGGCCGTGAAGATGGTAAAAACCAGGTCAGATGAAGGATTGTTCAATTTGATATATTCCTGGTGCACCGTTAACTTACCAGGACCAAGTTACCTTGAGTTAAAAATCTGTAGTAGCGTTTTTTTGCAAAGTTTAAAAAGAAAATCTCCAAGCAATTTATCTGACCTACACGAGCTCTCATCGTCAAATCTATTAACAAAGCAACCCTCCTCAGTCCTAAAGTAACTTGTGAGTAGGTAAAACTTGTTGTAGAAATAAAAGCGTCGTCATGAAGGCAGCATTTAGTCTAAACAACTAAAAGAAAGTCTAGGGGTTTTTCAAAATGATGCAAAGTGCTTACACGAAGACGTCACTCAATTTTACCGGTTTTATTGCACGGCTAGTAAACAACGAATAAAGTGGGGGTGGGATCGTATTTCAGACAGTAGTCACTTAACATGATTTTAGTAAACATGAATAGCATGCCTAATCGATAAGTGCTTTTAGTGACTCTAAACTTTCTCACGTGTGTAAATATCTGTGGTCCTAACTGACAGCAAAATTATGGTAAGGTCGAATCACTGGACTGTTGAACCGTAACCTTTCCGTTTACGACTAGAAAAACAACCAATGTTTTTAGCACAATTGACACTTTTGCTCTTATGATCGCTAGCACTTCAGTGACAAACACTCAGCCTTTTGAAATAAAAAAAAGGACTAAGAAAAACCTTAAACAGACGAAATCACTAATTTTAAACCGTCATTAAGATACCTCAGGAATTACTTTCTGTTACGTTCGCCCGTAACAAAGAGGAAACCACTCAAATAACGGTACCAGATCCCTAGCTGAAGCTAGAACCGACCCTCCCAGGCTAATACAAGTACAAGACCAGAGCTTGTGTAGAGAGCTTTATTCACGTCAATCACGTGCGGAGTGCAGTATCGAAAACGAAAGTGAAACTACTTCAACTCAGGGTTGACTTTGACTTGATAAAAAGCGTAACAAAACAAATGTTAGTGAATAAAATGTAAATAGCATCAGAAACCAATCTTGGGGAACCGTGGATCTCCAACACTCTCAACACATGCCGAGACTACTGCAGGTTTTCACGCATGTGCGTCATCTACAACACAATGCGTTTAACTGAATTGTTGCCTCAGGGAGGTGCGAATCCACCTCAAAGCTGTGGGTTTGCAAGCAGCCAATCCATTAAATCGGGGCGTGCACACAGTTACTGCTGTGACTCATGCATTATCGTCTCTAGGGTAACCCGGACGAAGCTACAGCTATGTTGACTCTGTCCGATGCCTTTTTTGGCAACGTCACTTGCATCAAAAGAGCTTGACACAGGCGGCGAGTTTAAAGCAAAAAAATCTGAAACACTGGTATAATGCCGAATCGCACACAAACTTAGACTGCTGTTTAACTGTAGGATCATTTAGAGAGCATGTTTTTGGGAAAATTTGGGGATGATCCATATTCAGAACCTGCTGCGTCAGACTTAATTTAAAGTAATTTACTGTAATGCATAAAGTCTAAACTGAAGCGAACCAGCCGGTACAAAGTCAAACGGTGGTTGGAAATAAAAAAAACCTCAACCGTGGTGGTAGTTGATACAAAGTGCAATATAAGTGCATCGTCGAGCTGAAAAAACGATGCTTGCCCGGATGTGTGAAAGCAGTTTCATAAGGCAACGTATAAATGAGCATTTCGGCAAATTCAATCTTTTAGATTTCCATGCACACTATGAGTCCACAAATATGCGTTTCACATGGCGGAAAGGCGTCAGCGGATGTGAGGCGTCACTAAGACCATTCGAGAAGTGTATGCTTAGGTATTTTTGAGGTGACGGGGTTCGTTTTTGTTTGAGTGGCCACCAACTCGTGCTGTAATCAAGAACATGGGCCTTATTTCTAAGAAACTGGATCTTATGGCTTCTTAGATTACAAAAATGAAATGCCGCAACACACAAGCGCATTAGCATGCCTTGATTTTTCGTAGATTTTGCTAATTTTGAAAATGCGTTTGGCGAAAGGGAGATTTAGATCGGTCGCAGTGGAAAGTATGTGTAAAGAGTTGCGATTTGTTTGAAATGGTGGAGCCAGAATTGGGAGAATTATTCCCAAGTAACAATTAACCATGATTTGCAACGCTCGTCTGTTTTCCAGGCTCTGTAACTTTCAGCCCCCATTTAAAAAGGTAATATACACGATAAAAAATTTCCAAAAATCTGAAATTTCTTTGTTTTGACAACAATATTAACCTCAAAGAAGTCAAAAAAAATAAATCTAATGGAAAAATTGCTATTTTAACAGTTAAACTACTTACGTAAGCGAATTTTTTAGATGGAAATTATTAATTTAGCCTACAAGGAGAGAATCATTACAAGAGCACTTTTTTGCACTTTAATGCCAAAGCTACGATGGTTGACGAGCTATTTAACATCATCGACACTCAGCTCTCGTGTGCATTAGCAAACTCCTGTCATACTGCAGACACTATCGTCTGTGTGGTGCAGATCAATTTTCGAAAAAAAAGGACTCTGAAAATCAATTTACTTTTGTACTTTTCTGCAATTAACTTCAGTTAATTTGATCAATGTGTGCCTGAAATAAAATTAAATCTGCCGATTTTCCCGTACCTTAAACGGTAGTATTGTGTTGGTTACCAGAATTCCGAGAACGTATGCTGTGGATGCTTGATGCCCTGCTTACTGGGCGATCGGCCGCGCATTTGTGATCAGAAGGATGCTTAGAATGTTTGGCTGAACTTCGTTATTATCTGTGTGGTTTGTACATACGTCAGCATGAACGATTGAAATCATGTAAGAACTTCCAACTTAGTCACATGGTTAGATTCGATGCCCTCATTTTACGTGGGTGCACAGTTGCAACTTTTCAAGGTAATTTAGGGTAAAATTCTGAATTAATGATAAATCATTTTGTGTCGGTTTACTTAGTTAGCTAAAAAAGAATCTGGAGTGATAAGGAATCTGGGCAATTCCCTTTAAATCAAATTCGAACATTTTTTATCGAGGACAACTCAATACCAGCTTTGCTTGCAACTTTTCGAAACGAATTCCTATTTGTTACAACTCATTTTATCCCTTTCCACAAAAGCCAAAAACTCCCTTTTTTATTGCAGTAATTCCAATTCACCAAGTTTAAATGAAAAAAAAAGGCAATTGGTGCAGTTCAAGCATTTAATATTGCAACCTATGTACACGAAAGCCCTTCACACTAACAAGAAATCACTACACAACGTCAAATCGCCAAACAATCTTAATCACTTTTTTTAAATTTATTTACGTAGATGATGTGAATCAAATGTTTCCGTCTTGCATTATTTTTTGGACAAAAATTAGAGGAAGGGGCATTTTTTATGTTCCAAGCGGTAAATTATTTGGGTGGAAAAAAGTCGTTGACGTTTTTTATGTATTCACAGACCTTTATAAATTGAATGACAAAAGTTGCAAAACACAAGGCCAGCTAATGTGCCTCTCGTGTAATTCGATCAAGTTACGATCACGAACTCACCAACGTAATTCCATATTTTCATTAAATCCTCTGCCTGCTGGTAAACCCCACCAGATATCTGCGCACATATGGATTCTGTGTCCATCGGACCAAATGATGCAGATACGAGCCCGTTCGTCCAGGTGTCAGCGGCGATTGCGATTGCGAGAAGGCGCGATTGCCAACTCGTGTCCAGCATCCCTACATCGCTCTGATTGGCCACCACATGGACCAATGGATCACGGCCGCAAGATGTACCACGTTTAAGTAATGCCGTCGAAGTTCACTGAAAGGCAATTAGGACATTGACATTATGTAATGCGCACATATCTGACACTTCACTTGTAAAGCCTTATCTCTCTGGAATTGGGATGGAATGGAATTGTTGATGTCTAAGACGATGATGACTGTGACTGGTGAAAAAGAGCGAAAACTATCCCAAA